CTTCTTCCATCCTGTGCTCCTTGGAAGTCACTATGTGCAGCCCACACTTAAGGGGGGACTTCCGTGTCACCTTGGAAGGAGAGGCATCTATAGAAATAATTTGGAATTCTGCATGACAGACTTGTTCCAGTGACATTTTGTTCAACTTACTTTCTTCCCACATCATCTGTTTCTCTGTCTTCACGTTTCCGCTTTACCTCCTGAGCCTGCGGAGCGTCTCTGTAACAGTCCCAGTGTCCCTGATGGCTAATGCCGTCACCCCTGGCCCATGACTGTGATGCTCCCTCCTTGGCCAGAGGGCAGCTCTCCCCGCTGTCAGGTCATCTACCACTTGTGGCTGGGCCCTGGCATGGGGAGCCCTGTCTCACTTCCTGTCTATTTCTTCTTTTCAAGGGTGCTGAGTTCTCAGTCTGGCAAGAAGTTCAGTTCCACACAGATGGGCTTGACCCTTCTGAGGACTGTGTCCATGCTGGTCATGCTGCCTGTGGAGCAGCCTTTCTCTGGGGCGCTCAGCCCACTTCCAATCTGTGGCTCTTCTGGGGTCTCTGCTGGATGCTGTGTGCAAAGCAGCCTCTCTTCTCAGGCCCTGTGTACGCTGGTGGTGGCCCATGGGGGCTGCCCAGGGCTGCTCTTTCCCTGGCAGGCCCTCAGGCCAGCCTCACAGGTCTCATTTTGTGGACGGGCAGGCCAGCACTTAGCCAAAGACCCAAGAGGCTCCCAGGCACTCCTGGAGCCCTCTCTTAGAGCAGTCCCTACTCCCAGTTCTAGCTGCCTCAGTGTCTCTGAAGTCCACGCTCTGCTAGGTTCCCCCTTCTGCATGGGAGTTTGAAAACCACCTTCAGGAGGAAAGCCTGGGCCCCTGTGTGGCTCACCCACCCTCCTGTTCTCTAATCCTAAACTATGTTCAAGAGTGAGGTCCTGCTGAACAGGGCCTGCAGGCCCCACATTAAGGGCCCTCAGGAGCTGGAGAGGGTCAGCTGGCAAATCCATCACAAAATCCAGTGTTTGTCTCCCCGCCTCACTGTTTCAAGGTCCTTCCTTCTCTTACCACAGACAGTTCCTGGAGAGGTCTTGGCTTATCCTCAGACATGATGAAAATCTGTGACTGGAAATGGGGGAGGGCCAGGGAAAAGTGATTGTGTGGCTGGTGAGCAATGCTGTTTTCTGAAATGTAATTCTTGTTGAATGCAAAGTGTTATTGTAGATTCGGAGCCTGTGGCTCTATTTTCTACAGTATGACAAACAACCTGAAATGTATACAGAATCTTGCGTGTATGTACACTTTTATAGTGTCTCTGTCTTTGAATAGTTTCTCAAAGGGCTCCATGACCCAAAAGGACTATAAACCACTGCATTCCACGAGGGGCCACCTGCACTTCCCATGTGTCTCCCCAGAACGCCAACCCAAAGACGAGTCTGTGATGTGCTCTGGTCTCCTGGACACAGCTGGCTGACCGCTCCCTGGAATCCAGGAACATGTGCTCAGGAGTGTGAGCGTGTGGCCGGGAGCACGAGGACACTGAGTTCAGTCTGAAGAGTGAGGTGATGGACGAACAAAGTGGGGGGCCGATTCTACCCCTCCTCCCTGCCCTTAGCCTGTCCTCACCTGAGAGCACCGTCATGTCATTCCCTTGCTTTCCGTTCAAATTAGCTTCAGTTACAAACGGTGACAAACCATCTTCCTACTCTGTAGCTACTGGCCCCCGCACTGGGCATCTATGGGCCCAACAGAGCACATGCCAGTAGGTGATGCTCTGTGGCCATCAGCGTCCAGCAGGGGAAATAGTGGCAGCTGGCAGGCAGCCAGGGCCCGCTTCCCTCCTTTCACAGCTTGTAAGGACACCTTGCAATCAGAGGTGCAGGGGTCTACATGGATAGGGCTCTGGCACCACCCCTTGTGACACTCACTCCAGAGCGGGTCCTGCAGCCCCACTGACCTCTCCCCAGCACCTTAATAAAGAATTCTGAGCACACATGGTCCTGTGGAGTCAGCAGGCATGGGTGTGCTGTGGGCATCCACCCTCCTTCCAGTGGCCACGGCAGCCCAGACCTCCAGCCCCTTCTGAGACCTGTGCTCTGGGACCCCCTTACCACACCCCTGCCCGACTCGCCACTCTGGGTGGGAGGACAGCACAGAGCCTGCTGTTTATAGACCTCTGCCTGTCATCCATCCGTCTGTGTCTACATCTGTGTATCTTTACAGCAGGGAGAAAAGGGGAACTCTCAGGTAAAAACCCGAAATACGACTCTGCCTGTGGATGCCCATGGTGCCAGTCAGTCCAGGTGTGGCTGGGGCCCAACTAAGGAAACAGGCGGGGTGGGAGTTAGAGCTGACGCAGTGGGCATGGAAGCGGGGGCCTCTGATGCTCGCTCAGAAAACACGGAGCTTCCTGGCAAAGGCGGGCGGGGAGCAACAGCTGGGCGTCAGTGAGAGCACGCGCACTTGAGCTGGTGTCACCATTTTCTAGCTCTTACTTTGTTAAGTTTCTTAATGTCTTTGGGACTCACTTTTCTTATCTATAAAATGGCTGCTCGTCACCTCCTCGCACAGCTGAGCATGGAGCAATACTGACACGAGAAGGCTTAGCTTTGGCGCCTCATGTGAGGACTGAACAAGGACAACCATGCCAGCATCTGGCAGCTGTTACTGCAGCCAGGCTCAGGGACGCACCAGAGCCTCGGGCCCGCAGCACATCTCCCAGCCTGCCGCCGGCGTGCAGTGACCTGCAGGGTGTGCTCCTTTGGCACTTCAGGTCAATGGTCAGGTCCCCAAGGGCGGGACCCAGAGGACCTGCTAGGTCCTGGTGGCTGTCTGAGGACGACTCGGCAGGCGTGCCCCCCACCCCCAGCTCTGGAGCCAGGGAAGGAGTGGCCCTGCCTGCCAAGAGAGCTCTGGAAACAGCCCATGGCTGGCTCTGAGTTCAGGTTCGACCAGGCCAATCCCTTGAACGCCCACGTCGGGAGGCAGCCTAACTGTAGGAACAGCTTTGCCCTGGCCCCTCCAGTGGCCCTCTGCCAGAGGCACTCATCCAGGCTGCCTGGGATGGGCTCTGGCCTTGGCAACCTCCAGTTCCTAGGTCTCTGGGGTCCTCCCAGCCCCCACAAGGATCATTCCTGCTCCCCAAAATTAGAGAATTGTATTGATCAAACTGGGATGAGGATGAGGCCAGAGAGGTCCCAGAAGCCAAAATTTAAGGGGGCCCTCACTCTCAGAGCCTCTAAGTACAGATGGGCTTAAAGAAGTGCCCCTTAAACTGTGCCCCTCGTTACCCTGGCCATATCCAACCTAACCCTTTGGCCAGACAGGCTGATTCGTGGAGTGTCCCAGTGAGCGTGGCAGGCAAGGGGAACAGCACAGGCTGTAGGCAGGGACAGCTGTGGCATTCCAGCCAGTCATGGTCACCAGATCCCCTCCCAAGGGCAGTGGCAGCTGCAAGGTTCTCCAGGACCTGTCTAGGAAGGAGCTGCATCTCTCGAAAGCCCTTGCCTACTCACCTGAGATCAGGCACTCGGCAGCCCCTTGGGCAACCCCAGAAAGGGCTTCCTTTTACTGTTGAGCTAGTGTACCCGCCCCCACCAATGTGTCCTGCACCAGCTGCCCCTGCTCAGCCTGTGTACAAACCAGGTAGGATAGATCACTTGCACTCCAGCTGGCTCTCCGGCCTCCCCACCCCGCCGGGAGAGTGTGCCCACAGCGCTCATGGGTGATGCGGCCACTGTGAATGGGGGCTGTCACAGGCCTGACATGACTTCCTTGCTCTGAGGCCTCAGCCAGAAATCAAGCTGCGGGTCCTGCAGGGGCACGCTGATGGCACCTCACATGCGTGCCTCTCGATCCTTGCGCAGAAACAGCAAGCGGCTTAAGAGGCAGGAGGACTCACCCTGGTGGGGCTAGGCCTGGGGGATCCTGGGGATCAGCGGGGCCCCTGAGCTGGGCAACAGTGCTTCCTGGGAGAGAGGGAAAGGAGGCGGAGAGGGGCAGAGGGCGACAGGAACGTGGGGTGATTCCCTTTCATCAGGAAAGTTCCAGGCCTAGAATGTGGGATGGTGGTGACACGAGGACTCACGCCACCGTGAACGGGCACTACCGAGTGAAGGGCGCCCACACGGAGATGTCACCGGGACCAACACAAACTATCTCCAACAAGAAGCTGCACGATCTCTGATTCCTGTACTCCCCAACACTCCTCAGGAAGAGTCGAAAGAGCTTCGGCAAACCACCGCCCAAAAGCAGAGCCCCTGGCCTGCCGCTCGGCGCTAGCTTCCACCAGACTTCTCTTCATCCCTAAGGGCTTCAGTGCAAAGAAGGCAAGAACTCAGTACGGACCGAGAAACCCGCATTTTGGCCCTTAGGAGCCAAGCACGCCTGGAGGGGCCCGTCTGCCGGCCCCGGCCTCTCCGCCACGACGTCACAGCCGGGATGCGGGGCAGATTCCGACCTCCAGCTGCAGGCAGTTTCCGATTTACCTTTGCAAACCGGAGCTGTCCGGTCCTGCGGGGTCGGACCACGTAAACAAGCCTGCTGCCAGGCAACTGGAGACGGGGAAGTGCATAAGGCCTCCGTGCGAGTAAGGAACAACGAAGCCGCTTTTGGGAAACTCGGCTCTGGGATCCCAGGACGGAGGGCTCGAGGTCTACGCGGACTTTACGACGTTTTACTTTGTTTTCGCTTCCCTTCCTTTTGCACTAGAGCAACGCCCACTGACTCACGCCAAGTCCTGATTCTCTTCGAAAAGCCGCGGACCGCACCACCCTATGACTCCTCTGAGAAAATATGAGGCACAGTGTTCGCGGCGGCGCTGGCTTTTGTTCTCAGCACGGACACTCGCGCAGCCGTCCGACAGCGAGCGGAGCCCGGCGGAGGCGAGGCCCGCCGCGCAGCGCGCGCTGCTGGGCGTGGGCAGGGGCCGACCCGGCGCAGGACCCGACGCTGCGCCTCCGAAACCCCGGGCTCGCAGCCCCACACCCTGCCCTCCCGCGGACGCGCCCCGGCCCCTCACCGGGCTCCAGCCGATGAGCGCGTCGGTGTCCGGGTCGCTCACGAGAGTCCACAGCTTGGTCAGGAAGGCCGGGACGTTGCTGGGCCCCGGCGCGCCGGGGCCCACGGGCAGATCCATGCCGGGCAAGGCGAGGACAGGCGGAGGAGACGAGCGAGGACGGGGGCCGAGGGCCGGGCTAGTGCTGCCGCCGGGGCCGCGCCGCCGCCACCGCCCGCTGCGCACAAACAGGCCCGGGGCCTAGCATGGCGGCCGCCATCTTGCGACGGGCGCGCTCCTGCCGGCGCCACTCGCCCGCCCCTGGCGCGCGCACGCCGGACTCGCGCACGCCTCCAATCAGGCCCCGCCCCTGGGGCACGCGGCCGCTCGCTGCCGGAAGTGGTGCGGGTCGGGAACGGCGGGCGCATGGCGGGCGCGCAGGACGTGGGGTTCGCGGCGGCGGCGGCGGCTGCTCGGCCCGGGAAGCGGCGGCCGGAGCCGGAGGAGGTGACCGCGGGCTGCGCGGAAGGGCGGCGGGCCGCGCGTGCTGGCTCCTCGCGCGGCGGGCTGGCAGTGCGGGGGAGGACGGTCGCCGGCCTGGGTCGGTCGCCGGGCTCGGTCGGGGCGGCCCCGGGGGCGTTCGCGAGCGGCGCGAGTGCGCCGGGCGGCTGGCTTCCGGCGCCGCGGCCCTCGGGCTGCGTGTTTGGTGCACAGGTCCGCGCGCGCGGTGCCTGCGGAGGCGTTGGGAGGGGAAAGGATATGAGAGCCGGAGGCGCGGAAAGACCCGAGGCCCGCTGCGCAGACGCCGCCCTCTAACTGGGAACAGGGCCGGTTCTGTGCAGCCGGGCCCCGGCTCCGTTCTGGGCATGTCAGCGTATGGAGGTCGGGGAACGTAGAAGGAAAGGCATGGGCAGTCGAGTCTCTCTGGCCTCCGTTTAGCTGGGTCGTCGCTTTGTGACTTGCCCTCGTGTGGCTCCCCCATCAGCCGGCAGCTCCTGGAGCCTGGCTGGGCTGCTTCCACCACTGGGCTTTGTACTCATCAAGAGCCATTTGTGCCCGAACCGCTTATGCCACTTTCACTTGCTGTTGTCATTGTGCAGCAAACTAAATACTGGCGATGAACAATGTAAGTGTGTGTCAAGAGTCACATTTCTGAAAACTAAGTTGAGTGTTGTGGAATAAGTGGTAATCGCAGGCTGTCCAATTAGGTGAGGGACTAGTAAACTGTTGCAAAACAATGCAGTCTAGGATTCTGCACTCAAATGCTTCCTAAAAGCCTACAAGTTCTTGTGTCACTTTCAAAAGCAAAGAGAAACCCACCCACTGTGCATTGTGTCCTGCACAGTTGGGGATTTAAATGTCACCTGTTCAGCAGAACTCTGCTCAGGAAAAGCTGTGGTCCTGTTCCATGAGAGGGTGAACGGGTATATATACACTTGTTTTTAAGTAGAGCTTGCGGCATTTTGATCACTCTCTAACCAACCTTTACAGTTAACGGTCAGCTGTCCCCATCTGGGTGGGTACGGATACTTGTACTTCTGGAGGGAAAAGCCCCTCGAGTCCGTGCTGGCTGCAGCCCCTGCCCTTTTCCCTCTTGGCGCCAAGTGAATGTCAGAGTGGGCGTGGAGGGCGGAAAGCCAGTGTTGGTAACGCGATGGGAACTGAGCTCTAAGGGGGTGATGTTGTCCTTGAAAACTCCCTCCCTTGTGAGAACTTGAGAGTGTCCCTTCTGTGAGCATGCAGCCCTGCTTTTGACAGAGTGGACAAGGGAGGAAGGCCTGGGTTGGGTGGATGGTTTTGGTGGAGGTTGAGGCTTGTGATCTGAGGGCTGAGGCACCGGAGGCTGGCCACACAGAGCTGTCTGTGGTCAGTGCCCAGTGCCTGGTGGGTGGGTTGTGGGGTCTGCTCGTCATCAACACTGTGCTCTTGCAGCCCTCTCTCCTCTGCCCTCCTGCCCCCAGCCTCCCAGGGGACGGCAACGATTCTGGCCCCTCTGACAGCGAAGAGAGTGTGTTCTCTGGCCTCCAAGACTCTGGCAGTGACAGCGGTGAGGATGCCACGACTGAGGGAGAGGACGGGGCCAGCAGTGATGAGGGCCACAGGAGGACAGAGAGGACTGCTGGGCAGCCGGTGCAGGTGGGTGAGCAAGGACCCTCCTGGTGGGCTCTCTTCAGAGGAGGTGGCTGGGGAAAGTGCGTCCTCCAGCCTCAGGCTCTCTGGGGTGCCTGCACTGCTTTCTCCAGGTTTCCTTGGGAACCCCAAAGCCCTCATCCTTCCTCTGATGCACCTGGGGGAAAGTTTGGGGCTTAGTAGAGTGCTTGTTTGGAGCTGGGTGTGCCGTGCTCCCTTCTCCAGGACCCCAGAAATCTCTATGCATGCTCCACACCCCCCAGGGGATTCTGCCCCCTGGGACTCTGCCCACTTTGCTGTACTGGCATCAGCTGGGTTCCCTGTGGCAAAGCCTGAGACAGGGATTGGTATGCAAGGCACTGTGTGAGGGAGCCCCCGCTGCCCTACTGGCCAAGGCTTTGGAGGTGGACCTGTTGCTGTGGTGGTGAGGAAGGATGAGAGAAGAGCTGAATTTAACTAAAATGCAGCATTTGAAATTTAGGACGTTTTACAAACACGTTTGTAACTATACTTTCAGCGGCCCTGGTGTTCTGAAAGTAAGGATTTTGGTTCATACAGAAGTTCACTCCCACAGTGGAAGCCAAAAAGCCATGCTTGTTTGTGATCTGCTTTCTTGAAGAAAGATTTAAAATCACACTTAAAACTTCCCCCATGCAAGCTTTAACGCTGGCATGCCCAGAGGGGAGGTGGTGTGCTAGCCGTGTTGCCTGTGTTTTGTTGAATTACAGGCAACTGTATGGTCCCCTCTTTATAGCTTCTTAAAATTACAGGTAGACCTTTCTCAGCAAAACCCAGGCATGGATGCTGTACAGGGGAGCGGACACTTATTCTCACTGCCCTGTGCCAGATGGTGGCCGGTTTGTAGTTTAGTCGTCTTTCTGGGTATTCCCACCCTTTCAAAATTAAGGATCCACACATTTAAGTATTTAAGTTTCTTCCTTTAAAAGGGAATTTTTATCTTTTCTTGTAAATAGGATTTTAAATAATATTTAAAGAATTAAGTAATTCTCTTTCTTAATAAACAATAATTCTTACTTCTCTGAAGTAGGTAATGTGTACGAGTATCTGAAGGGGCTGGCTAGTGGAGTCTGGTCACGGGGTGCCTGCTCGGATGTGCTTAGCGTCTGCGCCCTCTGAGTTGGGCATGTCCGCCTGGGTGCTTGGGCCTGAGGCTATAGCCCAGCAGAGAGGGATGCCCACCTTCCTGAGGGGCTAGGGGGAGCAGCTGTCCGCCTTTGGGGTACTGTCAGAGCCCTCAGGGCGCTTGGGTGGGTATGGCCCTCAATGGGGGACTGCACCCCTGGAAGCCAGGAGCTCTGCTCTGCTGGTGGTGCCCCCTGCGTGGTGAGGCGCCTCCTCCTGTTTCGCACCCATGGCTCTGTGGGTGGCCTGGACACGGTTCCATGGTCACAGGTCACAGTTCTGAGTTCGGCTGGCTGTAGGGGTGCCGCTGCAGACCTGCCCAGTTTATGCGTTCACGTCTCTGGCTTTTTTGTGCTGTAACTGAAGTGCACACGTGGCTCTGTAGAGTGTTCCCTGCTCTAAGGCATGGCCCTGCGTGCCGAGTTTGAGTTCCCCAGGCCGAGAGCACATGTAGAGGGGGAGGACTCTCAGCCTTGTAGAGGGGATCCCCCTTCTCCTTCCCCTGCCCAGTCTTCACCGGCCACCCATGCCCTTTGCCCAGCTGGACTAGTCTCTCCACTCCTTCAGCTGTGCCCCTGCTGTGCGGTGTCTGAGTTTTGTTCCCATCCTGCAGCCTGTAGGTGGAAGGTGAGCCGGTAGCCAGTCAGTGTGTCCTGCTGCGCCAAGGCGTCCGAGGTCCTGTGTCCCATTGTGTTCTGCCTCCCACCGCGCCGCCCCTGGTCAGAATGCTCCTCTGTTGCCCTGAAGCCAGGCCAGGGCTGCTCGCACTAGAGCCTTCCCACCATGCTGGCGGGGAGCGGGGTCCCACGGGGTCAGGGCCCTCTGGGGGTTCTGCCAGCCCACATTCCTGCTGCATCTGGTGGGCCGTCCAACGTCATACCACGGAGGCTTCTGCCCAGATCTTCCTGCCACTGGAGATGGGGCCTCGACCCGAGACCCCTTCATTGAGCAGTTTCTAGAGTCAGTGTCTCCCCACCACCATTAGTTGTCCAAACCCATGCCTGTGGTGACACGCTGGCTGCATGTCTCTCCAGGGTCCCAGCACTTGAGCAGAAAGCCTTCAGGACTCTGGTGCCTGGCTCTGGCCACAGCCGCTCGTGTGCTCTTGGAAGTGATTGTAGGTGAGCCACGCCACTGAGGGATGAGATGGCTTCTTCGACAAGAGAAAACAGCCCCACTGCTTTATCTCCCAGGCCTGCGTCCTCTTCCTGGGGCCTGATTCTTATCAGGGCTGCTGGGTGCTGCCACGGCCCCTGGGTCTCATCACTTCTTTTCTGCGTTCAGGCAGTTACTGTCTGTTTCCTCCACATCTTGGCCGGATGTGTCCCCTATGCCCTGTCTTAAGGCTTCCACCACTTCCCACCAAGGGTGGGTGGGCTGCCACCGCCCCCCCCCTTGGCCACTCTGTCTCACACAACCAAAGGGCGTTCTGCCGCACCTCAGGCTGCCTGTGTGGTGTCAAGGACATGCGCCATAAGGCACAGGCCCTGGCTGCAGGCGTGGTTCACCCTGGGCCTTTCAGGGATGGGACAACCTGCCTGGACATGCTCATCACGTGATGAAGGTGGCCGGCTACCTAAGGGGCGTGGGTTGGCTGTGTTTACTGCTCATCAGAGTTGGCAAGGCTAGAAAGTTGTTTTCCGGGAGTCCTGCCCCATAAATCTGTGGATTCCAGCAGGTCCATCATGTGCAAGGACGGCCACTCAGCTCTGTCTGGGCGCTCCTGGCACAGCAGTCCTGGCATGGGCTGCGCCCGTTTCCTGACTCCAGTGCATGGGTGCTTCTGCTGTCAAACGGCTGCTGTGGTCTTACTTGCACCTATTCACGTGCGCAGCCTTCCTGGTAGAAATTCTGAAAATGTCTGGGCTGGAGGGCCAGAGTGTTTTTCACTGTGGAGTCTGCAGAGTGTCCTGGGGCAGGGGTGCCTCTGTGCCCCTAGCACTGCATGTGGTGAAGCTTGCGAAATAGGAAGCGGTCTCTTGTGGCTTTGTGAACTTGTCCCTTTTGCAGGGAGTGAGGTGTCTTCCCTGTGTTTCTGTGAGAACTGCCTCCGCTGAGACCCTGAGCCTTGATGCAGCTGCTCTCGCACCCCATGGTCCTTGCTGTGTGGTCAGAGCGCCGTGTGGATCTGGGGTTCGCCTCGTAGCTTGCGCCCCTGGGCCTCCGCGCCGCTCCCTTGGGCTTCAGTGTGGGTCCTGCCCTGGGCCCGGTGGTCCTGGGCGGCCATCTGCCCATGCTTTTCAGCCCCTTCCTAGAGCTCCCCTTGCCCCTCATCCCTGAGCTGTGGTTTCCTGCCCTGATCCCAGAGTCCCTGTCGCCTTCTTCCCGAGATCGGAGCAGATGAGCGTTTGCCCAGATGTTCTCACCGGACCAGGTGGGGGTGGGGTCACCCCAGGGTCATCCTCATACTGGGCTGAGGTTCCTGGAGCGGGTTGCTGTTTTCTCCGTTTGTATGTTTTCTGTTGCTGTGTATCAAACTGACTCAAAACATGGCAGCTTGCCCTTGCAAGCATTTGCTGCCTCGCTGTTTCTAACCCTAGGTGGGGGTTGGGTTGTGGCAGGTCACCCGCAGGGCCTGGTGTGATGGTCAGGGTGCTGGCAGGGGCTGGAAGCTGTGCTTACAGGCTTGCTCACTCGGGCAGGGGAGCCCAGAGGTGCGGAAGGGCATGGTGTTCTGGGTGTGGTGGCCACCTCATGGCTGGAACGCTCTCGTCCTCGGTGCCGGCTCCCTCTCTCTGCCTCTGAGCTCCACTCCTCCCTCCCGGCCCCTCAGGACTGCCAGGCCAGGTACCTACTCACCTGGGGCCATGACCCCCTGCCCGGATGGGGAGCCTTTACCTGCTGGCTGCCCCTGTGTCACCCGAGGAAGTGGGAGGGCCGCACTGCATGTGCATGCCAGGTGTCTCCCTGCACACGTCGCCCACAGCTGTGTCCCACCCCTGCCTGGCTCTCTGCTGACCCCACAGCCCTCCTGCCTCCACCTGCAGGTGGGATCTGCCAGTCCTGCATCCTGCACTTTGCAGGGCTTAGGCTGGCCTTCCTGGGCCCCGGGATTTGAGTGGTTTGTGTACTTAAAGCCATCTCTCCCCTATGTGCTTGTGTGGACTCATTTTTCCTGCGTATGTCTGGTTTGGTCCTTTCTGTTTTTATGGTCTTTTCCTATTTTTTTCCTTCTGCTCCTGTGCAGAAGTTCCTGTTTTGGTTAGTTCTCTGCCATATTCAAGAATGCTGGTGTGTATGTCGCATTTTCCAGCTGCCCAGGTGCTGCCTGCAGAGCCTTGGGCAGGGGAAGCCTGCCTGTTTCTCGAGGGCTTTGGGGAGCAGAGGAGGCACCCTGACGCAGTGCCACGGGCCGTGTGACTCTCAGGCCCAGGCCTGGCCTTGCGGCGTCCTCGGGGCACCATCCAGGGAACCTGCGGTGGGTGCTGTGGTTCCTCCAGTTCCACTGAGCGTGTCACCCCAGACTCGGCACCTTCCCTGTCCAGGGACCCCCCAGAAACGAGTGGCACAAAGCGGCTGTTTGAGGCCTTGAAGTGCTGGGGCAGGTGCCCCGGACATGGGGTCAGCCTTGGCTCCCTGGTCCGCGGGCGGGCGCTTCTGCTGCAGGATGGCCCCTCTAACCAGCCGGAGGGTGCACTCCTCGGTCGGACCCTAGAGCTCTGCTGCGAGCAGTGCATCCACTCCCCTGCCCCTCCTGGGCTCTGGTCCCTTCTGCCCAGGAGGGTCATCACTCAGATTGCACCCCGTGTTTGGGGGTCCTGGAGCAGCTGGGCCCCTCCACTCTTGGCTGGGGTGATATGCATGGCTGGCAGTCCTGGGCACCTGTCTGCCTCTCTGTCCCTTCTCAGGGCTCCAGGCTCTGAGCAAGGCCTCTCTGACCTAGGCCCAAAGTCACGTCCTGTTGGCAGGTGAAGCCGCCACAAGCCCACCTGGATTCAGCTTCTTGAGAGGAAAATCCAGTTTGCAGTCATGGGCTGAAACAGTCACAGTCACATTCTCCTGCGGGCAGAATACACCTCCACCCAGCCCCTGACCTCATCTCATTGCCATGTCTGGTCTGGGCTGTCCCTGGGTCTTGTCTGAATCAGGCCCAGGGGCAGGTGGGGCCCTTGAGGTTGTCCCCACCAGGCCGTTTGCAGTGGTGGCACTGAGTCACCGTGGAACCTCTGTTCTGGTGGGGAAGCACAGACCACAGGCCTGGCTCTCCGTGGTCGGGCATGTCGGCTGTGGCCTTATGCAGGGTTGCGCCTATTCCCAGGAACAACCCTGCCCTTGCCCTAGTCACCTGCCTTTTCTCTGAGAAACAAGGGTGTCCATCTTGTGATGTCTCTGGCCTCGTAAAGCACCACTGGTGTGTTTATTTTAAAAACTGTGTGTTCTTCCTATACCGACGTGCATGGCCCTGCTGGGAGAGCCGGTGTTTCACGGGGGCTTCCTCTGCCCAGCTCCCCGGGGGTCTTAGCAGCGTGTTGTCATCAGCAGGCTTCACCTTCTCAGGCTCCTTTGTGCAGATGCCCCCTGGCTCTCTGAGACTCTGTGTCACCACCAGTGTCTGGACTCGATCTCTGCTGAGGTCTGGAGTGTGCAAACAGGCCTGGCTGTACCTCATGCTGACCCACAGGGTGTCCTGGCTGCTGCCTACTCTTGTGGGTGGGCCTGACCAGACCCCCTCGGGAAGGCAGTTCAGGGAGTGAAGCTTTAGCTCCACTGACCTGGGCTCAGTCACCACGCAGCACGGCACTGGCCATCCTGCTCACAGGAGGAGGTGGAGGGGCCTGGCTGTCATGTGCCTGGTCGGCGGCGACACGGGTGGGGGTGTGACTCGCGCTGGCTGGTGGCGCAGTTGGGCCTGAGGCTGGGGGGGTCTCCTGCACGGTCGCAGTAAGATGCCTTTGATCGGATGCGACAGATGCGATCTGTCAGATGCTGTCAGAGCCCCGTGGGGTCGTCGGGCCCTCTTCTGGTCCCGGGGGCGAGCAGAGGACCAGGCCCAGAGGCCACCTGGGGTCCAGGGACAGGGTGAGGCCGAGACTGCTGCTGCCCAGCTGTTGGTACGGCTTCCCTCCCCCAGAAGGTCAGCGCGCCCTCTGTGCCTCCGGCTTTGCCTGGGTGCTGGTCCTGGGCTCCAACTGCCCCCTCCCACTGCTCTCCTCTTTGCTGCTGACCCGTGGCCTCCCATGCTGGTGTCCTCCTGTCGTCCACCTCGGGGTGGCTTGTGGTCCACTGGCTGCTCATTCCGTTCTGCTCTGTAACCCAGGGGTGCCCACCCTGAGGCCCTCGGTCCTCGGTCTTGGACCTGCCTGCAGAGCTCTGCTTCCCTTTGGGCCCACCGAGCCCCTTGACCAGCCCACGAAGGCACGTCCGGGGCAGCCCCATGAAGGGCCTGCAGGCTGCGTGATCTGGGCAGACCCCTCTGCCTGTGTCTACACCCTGGGTTAGGGTCTCGTGCTGGTGGGTGAGGGCGTTTGTGCATCCCTCTAGTGGCTTACATTTCAGCCATCTTCTTAAGTTCTTTAAAAAATGCCCAATGCCCAACCACAACAAAGTGTCCCCAAACTTTGAGGGGTGGGTCTGCTGGTTTGGGAAGCTGGCTGCGCCCCGCCCCGCTGCTGCCCCCTGGCGGCTGCCATCGGCCCTGCGGCGTCCCGTGCGGAGGGAGGACCCCTCCAGGGGCGCAGCCTGTGACTGCGCGGAAGCTGGACGAGGGGACGCGTCCGGCTCCTGCCAAGACCTTGGTCTGGCCTGCCGCACAGGTGGTGCAGGCCCCGGGCGTTCTGTGCTGCTGGGGGCACTGGGTGGGCAGTTGCTGTGGGCCTGCCGCGGGGCGGGGAAGCACGGGAGGCGTGCCCGACCCCCGCAGCGTCACCAGGTGCCCCTGGCGGCCCGGGCAGAGCAGGGGTGCTTGCCGGCTCCTGCGGCCGGCGAGGGTGGGAGCTCGGCCCGGGCAGCGTTCCTCCATGTCCCCCACCCACAGCCCCCGCTGCTGGGCAGCGCTGACCCACTTTCCCTGGGCAGGGCTCCTTCAGCCCGACGCGGGGAGCAGGGGTTGAGGGGGGGGAATGTGGAAACCGAATCCTGCCTTGTTCCTGGCCTGGAAAAAAACTTAAGTCTCCCACCCTCCTTATATGGAGGGAGAGACTGGCCGCGGAAGAGCGGCCTTGCAGGCCCTTGGCTCCTGGCTGGGCAGGGGGAGTAGTGGGCTCTGGGCTCCGGCTAGGCTCCGAGCACTTTACTGCCCCCAGGGGTGAGAGGTGGGGCTGTTTTCCCCATCAGTCCTAGTTCCGGTACACCCGGTCCCCCAGCCTTTGAGGGGAGAATCTGTTTTCCAGGCTGGTGTGTGAATGCTCTGTACTGCCTGCTCACTGGCCAGTGGCACAGGGTGGCCGGTGGGCGCGTCACGCCTGCATTCCCAGTGCTTGGGTAGCTCTCCCCCCGCTTGGCCGAATGTGGCGCTCTGCTGCTGTAGGCCCTGGGGAGGCCTCCTTGGGACAAAGGTCTTCGCCCAAGAGTGGACCAGAGGTGACCCCTGTGACAGCCACTAGCAGTGAGTGCCACGTGCACTCAACCGAGTGCCCAGGTGGCCCGGCCCAGGTGTAGGTGACCCCCTGGCCCTTGCCTGCTGCCAAGCGGCATCCCCCACCTTGCCCCTGACCTTGGGCTGGCTCTGGGTTCGGTGGGCCATGGGTGGGCAGTTGTGCTAGGAGCCCTGAAGCTGGGTTTTTGTGAAGAGGTGCGAGGGCTGGACCTCAGCCGGTGACTTTGCAGCTGACCGCCCCTTTTCCCAGTCGGCCTCAGGCATCAGCCCTCCCTGGAGACCTCCCTTGGAGCCTGGGTGTTGTGGTGGGTCTGGCCCTTGACAAAGGACCCTGGGTGGGATCCCCAAGGAGCCCACTTAGAGTTTCTGTATCCCCATCTTGTCCTGAGACCCAGGGCCAGGTTGCCGCTGTTCAGAGATAGGAGGCGGCAGAACCTGTGGCCTTAGCATCAGCGGAAGGGAGTTTTTCCCAATCCCCCACCGCCAGGGAGGGGGCAGGTGGCCCTGGGCCTGAGATCTGCCTGAAGCCACAGGGCACCAGCAGCCTGACATAACCACTCTCCCCTTCTCTCCGCAGGCCAGGACCCCTTCCCCAAGGACAGAAGCGGCCAGCGTGCCGGGTGACGATGAGTATGCGGAGGACAGTTCTGACGAGGAGGTGCCGTGTGGTGTGGTGGGGGTGGTGGGGGCGGAGGGGGTTTTCCAGGGGCTGCACAGCTCTGGGAAGAGGGCAGTTAGGTCATGGTGAGGCCTGAATGGCAGCCTGGCCTTGGTCCCCACCCTGATGTGAAGAGCCATTTTGGGCCAGGGACACAGGACAGCAGGAAGGCAGGGGTCGCAGGGGTGAGGCGGCAGTGTGAGCATGTCTGCGGGGTGGCTGGCTGACACGGGGGTCCCGGTGCATTCCGTGGGGGCCGTGCTCATGCGCAGCAATGCTCAGTAGGCGTGGAGAGGCTGGGGGTGGCTTCCCTCACAGCAGCCGGCATGTGCTGGGGTCCACTGCTGGCCTTGTAGGCCCCGAGGGCAGCACTTGGTGCCCTTGTGCAGGAGACTCTGCCCCTCTCTCTGGCGTCCTGTCGAGTTCAGGGCCTGGACTAGGGAGCTCAGTCTGGTGTGCAGAGCGGCTGGAGGCTGAGGGGCTCTGAGCTTGGGGTGGCTGTGGTGCTGGCCTGCTGTCCCTCCCTGTGTTACAGCCACCTGGCAGGTCTGTGGCCCCTGTCCCGAGCGCCCTGGGTTAAGTCTCACCAAGTGTGTGCCTCCTCGGTCAGCAGGCCTCGCTGGACTGGAGGGCAGCCTTGGGGCAGCCGGTCGGGGGTGCCGGCCCCTCAGGAGCGCCCCCTGCTGCCCAGTGCTGTGGGGCTGCGGAGGCGCGTGTCGCCTCCCCTCTCAGCTTCCACCCCCGCCCGCACGCTCTCTTGGCAGCGGCTGCAGGAGCCTTGGCTGCCCGCCCGATCTGGTCTCTCTGCGTTCAGAGAACAGAGACAAAACAAAATAAATTGGTTTCCTGGCCGGAGCAGCGGGCGCACTCGGTGAGGGGCCAGCGCAGCGCGGCTCCCTGCCTGTCTCCCCCCTCCCAGGGGCTCTGGCTGTCGGCAGCCACATCCTGTCGGCTACTTTTTTATATTTGGTATTTTGAGAAATCGATGATGATTGTAAATGGAGTGCAGAGGCCGGGGGCGGCCCTCCAGCCTGCCCACAGGGAGGTGCTCCTCCGGCCTGGCCCAGGGCCTCGGGGGCCGCAGGGGCTGCGGGGGCCGAGGGGCTGCTTCCTCTGGCAATGATTATCCCATATGTTGGCCTCAGTGACAGGAGGGAGCCGCCATGCCCGCCCTACCTGAGCTTCTGCCAGCACAGCCGGCTGGCGGCTCGAGGGGGCGGCAGAGCTCAGCTTTCAGGAGCCAGGCCAGCCGGACAGATGCTTCCCCTCTTCTGAGGGGTGCTCGCGAGTGCCACCTTCACCCAGGCAGGGTGGGCTGGGCTTTGGGAAAGAGGCTGGGGCAGCAAGGGGGCCCCACTAGGGGCCTGGATGGGTGGGGTGTAGGGGGTTCAGAGCCGGGCTACAAGGTGACCAAGAGGGTGTGGGAGGGGCTTGGAGGCCTTCCCCTCCCTGTGGTTGGTGCCCGTGTTGAGGCAGCCCCTTTCCCAGCAGTGTCCTTGGGGGTGGCAGTGGATCTGAGTCCCCACCCAGGCTCTTGGTGGCCCCCAGGAGGGGTCCTGATGGGCTGTGTGCCTCTGGGAGAGAACCTTGAAGGCATGGCAGCCCCCACTGCCCCCGGGCCCTGCCCACCCTCTGGGTCTGGGTCTGAGGCCTGGTCTGGGGGACACGGGGGCTTCTAGGTCCTCTGAGTGCTGGCCTCTGCTAGCCCGGCTTTGGGGAACCCCGCATCCCAGACGCTGACGGGTGACCGACGGTCCAGCTTGGGGGAGCCCGAGGCCTGTCTCCCTTGCTACCTTCCCCCAAATGCATGCCCGCACTGTAGACGGGCTGGGGATCCCTGGGTGCACCTCCAGGCCTGCCAGGGGTCCTGGCCGTGGGAGCCAGGGAGCTGTCACCCTGCCCCACGTGTCTGCCTCACCCTCCCCCGTGGCACCTCGCACACTGATCTCGGCCTGCCTCCTGGACCCGGGTGGGGACGTGGGGAGGGCCCCTCGCAGGCTCAGCAGACAGCCCCTCCTCTCTGCCTCGAACGGCTGGGAGAAACCGAGGCAGGTGCCGGACTGAGGAGCAGCCTTTGCCTTGGAAGCGTGCGGTGAGGGGCTCAGGGCAGCCACGGACTCCCGCCAGAGAGGCTGGGAGGAGCCTCCTGTCCTCAGCCTGCTGTGGGCGCCAGGGGCCGGACCCCCTCCCGTCCCGTGAGACCCTCCTGTACCCCAGGAGGCCTCCACGGGTGGAGCAGGGCAGTAGCCCTGTGCCCCGACACCGGCCTGCTGTGGCTCGGGATCCCGCGGGGGCCCGCCTGTCTGCATCCAGAACCAGCGATCCCCTCTGCTCTCTAGCCAAACGCCGTTAATGGCTTCTCCTAGCTACTGAACCGGCAGCTGCTTCCAGCGCTGGCGGCCGTCCGTTCCTCCGGCCGCCCGCCCACTGCACTTGCGTCGCTTTTGGCAGCAGGAGCCCGACGGCTCAGGTTTCTGAGCTGCTTGTGGCGGCCTTGCAGAGCCGCGGCCTCCCTGGCGGCCTCCCACCCCCACGGCTGGCCTCCGAATGGGGCTGCTGGCTGGGCTCCTGGGGCCCAGTCCGCCCCAGCTGGCTTGCCTGCAAAGGGCCCGTGCACCACTGACCCACGGCCTTGCTGGAGGCCTCAGCCAGCCCCTGGGTGCCTTTGCTCAGCCCCACCTCTGGGCCTCCTCCTGCCAGCCCTGCCCCCGCCTCACATTGGCCTGGTGTTTCCCACGAGCCTCTGGCTGCATCTGATTTCCTAGCTGGGGAAGAGGCTTCCCCGGGGGAGTGCAGGGTGGGTGTGAGTGAGGAGGGCACCGTGGTGGGAGCAGCTGCCCCTTCTGGAGAGTGCGATGAGCTTGCCGGGATGGAGCAGAGTCCTTCGGGGGCTGTGTGGTAGCTGATGGGAAGGTGGCGTACATGGGTGGTAGAGGCCGCTTGGAGGGAGCAAGTGCCCTTGGCAGCAGGAGCCCAGCCGGGCAGGTGGGTGGGAGTTGCTGGGACAGGGGCCTCTGGAGAGGTTTGCCCTGGGCTGGAGGTGTGGCTGGCAGAGCCAAGAACTGGAAGTTCAATAGGAAGGTGGGCAAGGGGTGCTGGCTGTGGAGCAGAGGGCGTGTGCTGGGGACAGGCCACACGGTCTGGCTGCATGTGGGCTGTGTGTGGACTCAGGTATCCTCCTGAGTGACGTTTCAGAGGCGGCTGGAGTGGGGCTGGGGGTGCTGTGGGGCCTTGGGACCAGGCCTGCCTTTGAATAATGGGACTCAGAACAGGCCTTCACCACTCCGCAAGGGTGTCCTGGGCCCGTGCCCACCCCCAGGTCTCCTGAGGGAGTTTCTGGAAACCACTGCCTGCAGGAAGCCACGAATCAGGGTACTCCATGTGGGAATGGCCCTTGAACCCTGTCAGCTCCAGGAGAGGAGCAGGTGGGTGTGCGCCTGGGAGCGGGGACAGCCTTGTGCCCTCTCCCCACCCCGTGGAACCTGGGGACCCTGTGGGGGCAGACTTGCCCCCCCCAGCTGTGGAGGTGCTGGTAGGAGCCAGGCAGTGTGCTCGGAGAGGCCTTGGTCCTGTGAGGGACAGAGGGTGGTGGCATCCGGGCCAGCCTCAGAAGAGGTGCCCTTCTACCTGGATTGGCAAATGGGAGGGGCAGCTGATGGCGGAGTCTGGGTACAGCCAGTGGGCCCTGCTTCTGCCCGTGTCTCTTGATGGCCTTGGGCTTTGGGGCAGGAAGAAGCCGGGCAGAAATGGCTTTCTCCTCTTTGGTCTGCATACCTGGACTTTCGCTGCTGAACCTTCTGTGGGCGCAGCAGCAGCAGGTGAGTGGGCGGGCAGCCCGGCCTCCTCCGCCCGGCGATGGGCACTCTGACAGCTCCAGCCGCGGAGGAGCGCGGGGAGGCCCAGTGCGGAGGCTGAGCGCGTCCTAGACAGGCGGGAGCTTCGTGCAGGGGGGGCGGAGTGAACACTGCCGGCATTGTAATCGGAGCGGGGCGCGGGAAGAGGGAGCCCGAGCGAGGGCGGCTGACCCCTGGCTCCCAGGGGACAGGTGGGAGCGGCAACGAGGAGAGAGTGAAGGATTGCAGAGGTGGGCCGGCTTCCTCTCTCGCAGACAGACACGGGAGGGGGGTGGGCGGCGGGCCAGGCTGTACCTGCAGTTCCAATCTGCGGTCCTGACAGCTGCAGCCACTTTGGGGAGGGGGAGGGGAGGGGGCTCATGAGAGCGGAAAAACCCCAGCCGGTGTATCAGCCAGTTGCAGCCTGTGTCCGGTGCAGTCTGGGGGTGGGGACCCCTGCTGCCTGGCCCCATAGGCTTGCCCTTGGGGCAGAGTGAGCCCCAGGAGAGCCCAGCCAGGGGGCTCTGCCCTCCGCCTGGGCTTCTGGAAGGGTCGGCAAGCACTGCCCCTCAGGGTCACATGTGCTTCCTGGCAGCCTGCAGGTGCTGAGCAGGGTGGGGGCCGGCTGGCCTGCGGAGGGCGGCCTGGTGATGAATCATGTGGTGCCGCCAGCAGCTCATTCCCCAGACCGGGGACAGGGAGCCGACAGCCGAGGCCGAGCACAGTGCTTCCAGCCCAGCTTGGCCTGCAGAGGTGGCTGCCGGACCAGGGTGCAGGTGGCCCCCTCCTTTCCAGTGCCTCCGCACACGCACAGGGAGCCCTGGGTCCTGGCGCCTGAGCTCACTGGGTGGAACGCATGGCCAGCATTCTGGGGAGGAAGCCAGGGCTGTGATGTGCCCAGTGACTGGGGAGCTGAGGGGACTCGTGGGGCCAGGGTGCTCGGCTGGCTGCCACCCCCAGTCTGGTTTGACTTTCTGGAGCAGTGGAGGGTGACAGGGTGCTCCTCCCCCACCTCTCCTGCTGGCTGGTGAGCCAGGCCTACTCCCACCAGTGCTACCGGGTGCAGCTCGCAGCTCGGAGAGCGAGGGCTCAGGCCTGCGTCCAGCCAAGCTACAGGCCTGCTGGAGTCGCAGGTCCAGCAGCTGAGGGCTTGGCCTGCATGCACTGGGCCCTGACTGGCCAGGCCTCTGGGGACTGTCCCAGCAGCCTGTTCCCTCCCACCGACGTCCCACCTCTGCAGCGACCTGACCTGGCGTCCCCTCCCGCTCAGGGCTCTGGGCCAGGGTCCCCTCCCTCTGCACTGTCTCTGGGGCCTTCCACAGGGCCTGCTCCCCTTTTTGTCCCTGCCACCTCCCTGGCCACTCTGCGACCACCCGCTGGGCTACCTGTCGACTGGGGAGGGTTCGTGAGAGGTGTACACCCACTCAGACCCAGGTGTGAGATAGGAGGCCAGTGGGTGAGGGGCAGGTGGGCTGTGGACCCACCTGTGGCCATGCAGGGGGAGGCTGCACAGAGACAATGGGGGACTTGCCTGCCCGGATTCTTCCCTCCCTCCCTCAGGTCATTCTCAAAGGGTCCTCAGTACCCAGGATGGGAAGGGGGACCCCACATACCCTGCCTGCATCCTGGCTCTCTAGGCAGGCGGGCAGGGAGTGGCCACCTTGCCCTCTCCCCCGCCCCCGGCCAGCTGTAGGCTCCTGCAGGATTAAAGAGAGGAAATTCGGCTTTGGGTTTCCGAGTGGAACCTGCCGTGCGACTCTATCCTGCACATTCCTCTTGGAGGGGAGCAGCCTCTAGCCCCTCAGAGCTCTGGCTTTGAGAATTTCCTCCAAAGTCACACCTCTGCTTCCTGCTCTGCAGCTCCCCGGAGCCTGTCCATGCAGAGGAGGGGCAGCTCAGGCCCAGCCCTTCGGGGTGCCCGTGTAGGCCTTGGCACCGGGCATGGTCCTGCCCCGAGGGCTGGAAGGCCTGGGCGGCACCTGGTGCTCTGGGTCACGCCCCACCCTGGCTGGTGGGAAGTTGGGCTTCTGGCCTGCCAGGTTGGTGGCGCTGCCTGGCTTTCCCCCCTCTGTACCCGCGGCACTCACACCAGCAACCCTAATCGTCATCTGCAGGATTTAATGGCCAGCCAGCTGTGCACAGCTCAGGGACGGGCCTTAATCACCCTTCTCACAGCCAAGTGGGGTCTCTGAGGAGTTCGCTGGGTGCAGTGATAGCAGCTAGTTATCCTACCGGTGAGGGTTGTGCTGCAAGGTGCTGAGTGCAGCGATGGGGGCAGGGGAGCTGGGGTAACCCTGGCAGGGGTGGGCCCAGAGCTCTGGGGGCCTGGGATGGGCACTTGGGGGTGCAAGCAGGCGGCTACCCCCTGGCCTGTGCCCCAGGTCCAGCAAGACCTGGGAGCCCACTCTGCCTCGCAGCACCCTGAGGCCCAGCATGGTGCAAGCTATGAGCGCAGCTTTTCTCACCCCTGCGAGGGCGTAGTGCCAGGCAGGCCCTTGGTCTCTTCAGTGGGGCAGCGTGCTCACCCTCCTCACCTGTGTCCTCTGGCCCACCACACCACAGTTCCCCGGCAGGAGGGGCCTCACGTCTGGGTGGCGATGGCCCTGAGACCCCTAGAAGGTGAGGGCCCTCCCAGAACAGGGTTGCTCCTAGCCCAGGGTGGACAGGACATGTGGAGAGAGAGCCCCGAGGGGTGGTGTGTGGCCTCCAGCTGGATTCTGAACTGTTCGAGAGAAGTGTACTTCCATGTTTGAAAGATACTGTTTTTAATTATACAAAATTTCCAGACTTTATATTATCATATCAAAGACACAAGATGCCAGTACGTAGTGGCCAGAAGAAAACCCAGGTAGGAAGCCAGCGTGGAAAGTTCCAGTGAGTCTGGGCAAGTGCTAGGCCAGCTCAGAGGCCTGCTGCCGCCTGTCTGTCCATCGGCCTCCCTGGTAGCTGGGGGTGGAACTGGCCTGGTGGGTGCCCTTTTGGAAGGCCTGTGCCCAAGTCAGGTCCGTGAGGGGCCTGGATTACCCAGCTGCATCCACCTCTAACTCCGAATCGCTGTCTTTCTGTCGCGGTCCTTGCTCTGCAGAGGGGAGGGGCAGTGTCGGTCTGACAGGGCAGAACCCAGTGCCAGCCCGCACCTCCGGGCTTGCCCCTGGATGCTGAGGCCTCCAGTGGTGGGTGCTAGAAGCACCCCCTTCGGTGTGCACCCCAGAGCCCCGAGCAGCGTGGGGAGGAGTGTGCTGCTGCACAGCCGGAATTGTAAAATTAAATTTCCCAGATGTTCAGGCCCCAGGAGCTCGCGCGTGCTGTCTGGAGAGGAAATGGGTATCGGGAAAGCCCTGCCGTATTTTCTCCCTGCTCACCCTGCTTTTCCGGTGCCACCAAGCACCGCAGGGGCTGTAAATCACAGCCAGTCATTCCCTACAAAGTGGCCCTCTCCCCCACGCCTCCCACCAGCCTTCTGCCTGCAGGCGACACTGGGTCTGTGTGGGCAGCCCCAGGGGTGGGGGCTTGGGGACACATGGCAGGTGGCAGGTACGCCTTAGGCCTGTGGCAGAGAAAAGGACCCCGGGAGGGGGAACTCCTTACCACCTGGCCCCTCCTGAGCCCCTTTTCTGTAGGGCAGGGTGGGTGGCCAGAGTTCCTAGAACCAGCTGTGGTCTGGTCCCCCAGCCCCTTCCGGGTCGGTGTCCCCCCACCTTCCTACCAGACCCCTACTTGGCCCGCGGGGAGCGTGTGTCCTGGGCACTTGTGGGGACCAGGCCCAGGCCTGGCGGCTAGCTGGGCCCTCCCGGTCCTCCCTGCCCGGGCGCCGCTCTTGGGTTACAGGTGCTGCTGGGGGCTCCGGGGGCTCCTGCCTGCGGCCCGCCTCCCGCCTCCGCGGCCGGCAGGGTGACTGCAGGCGGGGGCGCCAAGGTCCAGGCTGCCTCCCTCTCCGGGGATGCGCGGGACACTCACCAGCTTTCTCTGGTTGCTGAGGCAGAAGGTGCAGATCTGTTTGGGTTGGGCGTTCTCGCCGTCGCGGGCTGGCGGCGGCGGGGGGCTGCCTGCACGCGCCGCGTGGAAGAAGGCGGACCCCGAGTGGCACGGCTGCCCGTCGCCGCAGGCCTCGCCCACCAGGAGCACGTTGCCCAGGTGCGAGATGTAGCTGGAGGCGAGGCGCAGCGTCTCAATCTTGGAGAGCTTGCGGTCGGCCGGCTCGGTGGGGATGAGCGTGCGCAGCGCCGTGAAGGCCGTGTTCACGCTGTTGGTGCGGTCCCGCTCGCGCGCGTTCGCCGTGTGCCGCTGCCGGGGCTCGCGGCCCGCCCGCCCGCCGGGCCCCGGGCCGCCCCCCGCCCGCCGGCCCCCCGCGCGTCTCCGGGCACCCTGGAGGCCGCAGCGCGCGGCGTGCACGCGGCAGGGCTTCTCGTCGGAGCCCGAGCTCTCGCTGCCGCGGTCCTCGTCCTCCGACAGGGGGCTCACCTCGGGGAACAGGTAGCGGCCCGGCGGCGCCGAGCGTAGCATGGCGAAGGACATGGCCGGGGGCGCGCCGTCAGCTCCGCCGCGCGCAGCGCATGTCGCCGTCCGCGCGGGCCTCGCGGGCGGGCGGCGGTCTCGGGGCGCCCGCGGGCTGGGCGCCGCGCGCACGTGTGCGTCCCGGGCTGGAGCGGGGCCGCGGGCTCGGCCTTTATAGCGGCGGCCCCTCCCCCGCGCCGGCCCGCCCCCCTCCCCGCCTCCCAGCCCCTGGAGGCCACTCGGAGCAGGGGCCCTCCGTCTCTCCTCCCCGCGCCGCGCGGAAGGAAAGGGCCTGGAGCATCTTGCTGTCCCCGGGGGATGTGGTGGAAGTGGGAGCCCCCTCGGGATGGCCCTAGGGCCGTGCGGTGCCCTCCCCTCCCCCTCAGCGGGGGTGGGGGTGGGGCGGGGCAGGAAGGTCAAGAGAGGCGCCTGACCCTGGCCTCCCCCACCAGGGCCAAGTCAACCCAGCTGCCCTGGCCCAGAGCCGGCCACACCCTGTCTCCCTCACTTCACTTGAGCCCCGTGTGCCAGATGGAGGGGCCCCTCCCCAGCCTGTCTCCACCGATTTGCTGGTGGGGTTGCCCTGTGGCACAGCCCATCAGTCCTGCATCTGCCCCCTACTGGCATCAGCCACCCCCTCCAGACCCAACACAAACCAGGCCCCCTGCCCGGAACCATCCCTTCTTCCCCAGCCCATGCCTGTTCCCCTGCCTCATGCTGCAGTGGGCCTTTGCCCGGGTCTGTCCAGTTCAGAGATGGCGGTGTGGACTGGATTCAGGCTGTGTAGACCGGGAGGCCCCCCACCCTGTGCCAAGGAGAAAGAAGGGCATCCTACAGTGAGAAGGGCCACAGCAGCTGGGAGGACTGCGTGGCAGGTCTTGGGGCAGGCAGGTGCAGAGGAGCAGGGTCAGGGGGCCCTGTCCTGCAAGGGGAGCCTCAGGCTCCTTGGGGCCTCTCTGTGTGGCTCCTGGTGCAGGAAGTGGCCGCCTGGGCAACAGTCTCCGTGCTGGGTGGAGGGAGGGTGGTGGCTGGCAGGGTCCTTGGCCAGGAATGTGTCCAGGAATGCGGCTGCTCTGGGGTGGGGGGCAGGACCTGGGGCTTAGGGGATCCTCAAATGCCTGCAGAGCAGAGTGGCTTCTGCTTCCGCTTGGAGTGGGCTGTCAGGGTCTTACAAGTCCCTGCCTGTGGCTACCCACTTTGCCTAAGGCCCCCCGCCAGGGGAGGGAGCCCATGGGCGATGAGGTCACCCTTGTCTGTGGCTGCCCAGAGCCCCAGCCAAGGAATCCGTGGGGGGAGGCTCTGGGGTTGGCACCACTTCAGTGGAAAATGTGAAGGTACAGCTCCGGCGCCTCCAAGGGCCAGGGGGGTGGGGACAGCACCAGCCGCCGTGCCACGTCACACATCGGGAGAGGGCATGTGTCAGACGAGGGCCTGGGTGCTGTTGCCACCAGCCTCGAGGCCAGACCCTTTGCTCTCCTCATCCGGATCTCCAGGGGGACCTGACAGGAGGGGTGGGCCCCGTGGGTGTCCAGTGCTGACAGGCTGGCCTGCTGCCCAGGATGTCCGGAACACGGTGGGCAATGTGCCCCTGGAGTGGTACGATGACTTCCCCCATGTGGGCTATGACCTGGACGGCAGGCACATCTACAAGCCCCTTCGTACCCGTGATGAGCTGGACCAGTTTCTGGACAAAATGGACGACCCTGACCACTGGTGAATGGGCAGGCCTGCAGGGTGGGGCGGGGCCCATGGGGTACCCCCACTGGCTGGGCTCTGACGAGTGGTTCCCCCAGGCGCACAGTCCGGGACCGGATGACTGGGCACAACGTGCGGCTGACAGATGAGCAGGTGGCCCTGGTGCAACGGCTGCAGAGGGGCCAGTTTGGGGATGGGAGTGTCAACCCGCATGAGGTAGGTGGCTGCCGCTGGCCCCGGGGGGCCTGAGGCCCCTGCAGAGCCCCAGCGCACACGCCTGTGTCTGTTCCCACAGCCGGCCGTGGATTTCTTCAGTGGGGACCTCATGATCCACCCGGTGACCAACCGGCCTGCAGACAAGCGCAGCTTCATCCCATCTCTGGTGGAGAAGGAGAAGGTGGGTCCAGTCCTGCCCCTGGGTGCCCACCCACAGCCTGCTCTGACCAAGCCCGTCCACAGGTCTCACGCCTGGTGCATGCCATCAAGATGGGCTGGGTCCAGCCTCGTCGGCCCCGGGACCCCACCCCCAGCTTCTACGACCTGTGGGCCCAGGAGGACCCCAATGCTGTGCTGGGCCGTCACAAGATGCACGTACCTGCCCCCAAGCTGGCCCTGCCTGGCCATGCCGAGTCCTACAACCCACCTCCAGAGTACCTGCCCAGCGAGGAGGAGGTGGGCCTGGCATAGGGTGGGCAGGTGGCCCCGGTCCCCGGCCCCCGGCTCACCCCTGTCTCTGCAGCGCCTGGCATGGGAGCAGCAGGAGCCCAGCGAGAGGAAGCATGACTTCCTGCCACGCAAGTTCCCGAGCCTACGGGCTGTGCCCGCCTACAGCCGCTTCATCCAGGAACGCTTCGAGCGCTGCCTCGACCTTTACCTGTGCCCACGGCAGCGCAAGATGAGGGTGTGTGGGGGTGGGGTGCCTGGCGGGGCCCCGGGGACGGGCAGGGAGACTGAGTGCCCTCCTGTCACAGGTGAATGTGGACCCAGAAGACCTCATCCCCAGACTGCCGCGGCCACGGGACCTGCGGCCGTTCCCCACATGCCAGGCCTTGGTGAGCAGGCGGGGGGGCGGGGGCGGGGGCGGGGGGGCGCCTGCTGTCTGTCTGTCTCCTCACTGCTGCTCTGTAGGTCTACAGGGGCCACAGCGACCTTGTCCGCTGCCTGAGTGTTTCCCCGGGGGGTCAGTGGCTGGCTTCAGGTGAGCCTGTGTGGGGGCAGTCCCAGAGTGGGGGGGCAGGGGGAGGGCCAGGTACTGAGGCCTTGTCTGCCCCGTCCAGGCTCTGACGATGGCTCGCTGAGGCTCTGGGAGGTGGCCACTGCCCGCTGCATGAAGACCATTCCCGTGGGTGGCGTGGTGAAGAGCGTTGCCTGGAATCCCAACCCCACCACCTGCCTGGTGGCTGTGGCAGTGTGAGTGCCAGGCGAGGGCTGCGGGGGCAGTGGCAAGCCTGTGCCTGAGGGGCTGTGTGTGGTTCTGGCTTGCAGGGAGGACATGGTGCTGCTGCTGAACCCGGGCCTGGGGGACCGGCTGGTGGTGGGCAGCACAGACCAGCTGCTGGGTGCCTTCGCCCCACCCGGGGAGCCTGCCCTGCAGCCTGCCCGCTGGCGGGAGGCCTCTGAGCCGGAGCACCAGAGGGGCCTGCGGCTGTGCATTTGCCATGACAAGGTGGGAGCTGTGGGGGTGTTGGAAGAGGACGGGGGTGGGCAGGGAGGGCCTGTCTCAGCTACCCTCACCCTTCTGCAGCCAGTGACACAGGTGACCTGGCACGGGCGTGGGGACTACATGGCCGTGGTGCTGGCCACCTCGGGCCACACCCAGGTGCTGATCCACCAGCTGAGCCGGCGCCGCAGCCAGAGTCCCTTCCGCCGCAGCCATGGGCAGGTGCAGCGCGTGGCCTTCCACCCCGTGCGGCCCTTCCTGCTGGCGGCCTCTCAGCGCAGTGTCCGCCTCTACCACCTGCTGCGCCAGGAGCTCACCAAGAAGCTGGTGCCAAACTGCAAATGGGTGTCCAGCCTGGCAGTGCACCCGGCAGGTGGGTGTGGGTGTGCCCTGGAGGTGGGGGCGGGGGCACCAGGCAAGGCCGCAGGTCCCCACCACGGATCTGCCTCCCAGGTGACAACGTCATTTGTGGCAGCTACGACAGCAAGCTGGTGTGGTTCGATCTGGACCTGTCCACCAGACCGTACAAGGTGCTAAGGTGAGGTGCTGGGGTGGGTGCAGTGGGCTGGCAGGCCCCCCCCAAACCTGCCCTCAATCTGGCCTTCTCCCTCCACCCACCAGGCACCACAAGAAGGCCCTGCGGGCTGTGGCCTTCCACGCCCGGTACCCACTCTTTGCATCTGGCTCTGATGACGGCAGCATCATTGTGTGCCACGGGATGGTGTACAAGTGAGTGCCCACCTCACCCGCCCCACCGGGACTCTGGGGTTGTGGGGCCGTGTGCCCATGTCCTGAGCCCATGCCTTCCTCACAGTGACCTGCTTCAGAACCCACTGCTGGTGCCTGTGAAGGTGCTGAAGGGGCACGTGCTGACCCGAGGCCTGGGAGTGCTGGACGTGGCCTTCCACCCCACCCAGCCCTGGGTCTTCTCCTCGGGGGCTGACGGCACCATCCGCCTCTTCACCTAGGTGGCCTTGGTGTATGCTGGGGACGTTAATAGAGGCGTTGCTTCCGTGGACTGCAGGCGTGACCTTTGTGGGGGGTTCCTGATCAGCCACCCCCACCCCAGCCTGGGGCTGTAGCCCATTCACTGAATCTTTCCAACAGCAGGGGTGGGCACCCTGCTGACCTGTCCCATAAGGAAGGCCAGGCACTGCAACCCCACGCCACGTGCTGAGTAGCAAATGGCTTTATTGGAAACTTGTTGGGGGCACAGGACTTGCCCCACCCTGCTTGGCCTCAGGCATTTGGTCCCTTGCAGCCCCGGCTTCCCACCCTGCCCTCAGGCAGGGGTGCAGCCCAGCCCAGGTGGGTGTTACTCTAGGAGTGGCACTGCCAGGAGCCTCAGACGAACTTCACCAGGCGGCCCAGGGTCTCGGCAGCTTTCATGCGTACTGAGGGGGCCGGGTCCTTGAGCAGGAGCTGGAGTGCTGGGGGACGGGGAGCCACTGCGGGGGAGGGGTGCTTCTGCACAGCCCAGGGTCCCTGCCCACTCTCCCCCGGGGGCCAGGACCCCGTGATGCACACCCAGCCCTGTGTGGGGGGCAGCCCGCCCACGGCCCTCCCAAGACAGGCCTCTGCTGGGAGGGCTCAGGAGCCAACGGAAAGATAGTTTTTCCTTTTTTAGTGTTTTTTAAGCTCTTTTGGAACAGTTGGGAAGTTTCCGTGAATTACTAGAGACGATGAGGTCACCAGTGACAGGGAAAAATCCTTGAAATCCAGGAAAATCACTTAGTCCCCCCTGATGCCCACAGGTCAGCAGGTCCCTGGCAGCCAGACAGGCTGGGGACTGTGGGGCAAGGGGCGAGCAAGTGCGTGACTGGGGCACTCACCTGCGACGAGCTGCTCCAGGTCCACCTGCGGCCCCTGCGTGGGCTCCACATGCAGCACCAGGAACCCTGGGGGTGGGGGGTGGGGGCAGGCTTGGCTCCTGCTCAGCTCGGGCCCTGCGAGCAGGGGGTGCGGCAGGGCACTCACCTGTGAGCATGGGGGCTGCGGCGCGGACATCCTCCCAGCCGCTCTTGAAGTAGAACTGGCAGGTGCTCACCAGGCGTCCCAGCAGCTCCGGGAAGTGGTGCATCTGCGGAGAGGCAGTCGGCCACCTGGCCTGCCCTGTGCCGCTGCCCAGCCCTGCTGCCCGGCCCGGCCCTGCCCTCACCAGGTGCTTGCAGGTGGTGTTCAGGAAGTCCCTGAAGTGCAGGCTCCAGCCCTCCCGCAGGTGCCTCTGGAAGACCGCCGCCAGCTCCTCGCACTCCAGGTTGGGGCCGCACATGCGCAGGGCAAACCCGCAGGCCTGTGGGACATCCCCCCGAGTCCCCGGCCCCGACCCAGCCGGGCCCACCCATGCCCTGCTGGCAACTCACGGCGGCCACGGGGACCTGGGGGTCCTGCAGGTGCAGCAGCAGGGGGACCAGCCCACTGACGACCTGCTCCCGGAAGACGTCCTCACAGTCCGCTTGGCACACCTCATTGAGGTGCCCAAAGAGGCGGATGGACGCAGACCGGAACTCTGCCTTTTCCTGTGGGGCTGGCAGGTGTCAACCCCGCAGGGTCTCCCGGCTCTAGGGCCCTCCCTACACCATCCCCTCATGGCCCCCCAACCCCTGGACCATCAACACCATCAGCCCAACACCCGGGGCGGCGATGGGGAGGCTAGGCTGGCAAGGAAGGTCCCTCCAGGGCGAATCCAGACCCACAGGGAAGCCAGGGGGCAGTAGGGGCCTGCAGCCCTGCAGGGCTGGGGTGGGGGCCCGCATACACTGTCGAAGAAGGGCCGGATGCGGATGGCCACGTGGAGCAGCACCGGGCGCACGTCTCTGGGCTCCACGAGGCCCAGCAGCCTTGAGAGGCCTGCCATGGCCTCCAGGGCCACCAGGCCATGTGGGTCGTCCAGCCCACCCAGCATGGCTGTCAGGAGCTGGGTGCCATGGGTCTGCACCTGGGGAGGCCCTGCCCTTAGCTGTGTCCCCAGGCCTCCAGGCCCTGGTGACCGCCACATGCCGTGTCCCACTGGGCCCAGCTGCCCCCACTGCACACCCCCATGACCCAGAGCACATCTGGCTGGTCTCTGCTGACCACAGGTCTCATCTTCCACAGGCAGGGCCCAGGGGGCCGGCTTGGCTGGCTTACCTTCCCAGGGCAGCTGGAGGTGACATTGGCCAGGCCACGGAGTGCCAGCCGCCTCACGCTGGGACATGTGTCATCCTGCCGGGCCTCCAGACTGTCCAGCAATGGCTCCAAGAGCATCAGGTCACTTGCCACGTTGCTGCTGAGCAGCTGGAGGCAGAGGTGCCCCCTGAAGCCAGGGCCTCTCCCCCTGGGCCCACCACCCCTTCTGCCGCTCTGCTGGGCAGCCCCAGCTCAGGGGCACATGGGCTCATGCCCCGTGTCTGCTCTCCCCAACTCCTGACTCCAGTTGCAGCCTGGATCCATTGCTGTGACCTTCGCCCAGTTTTTGGCATCATCAGCCACAGCCAGCCTGGAAGGGCCCTGGCTGCTGCCCTGCCCCACCATGGGGCCCAGCTCTGGCAGCCTCTGCAACCAGCAGCACGCAGCAGGCTGGGCAGTGGCTCTGCTGGGAGAGCCCCCCACCCCCCCACCCCGCCGTGCCTGGCCCCCACCGGCGGTCCAGAGCACACAGCTCCTACCTCAGCCAGGAAGGCTGTGGAGGTGGTTCTCTGGATCTCGTACGTGCTGCTCTGTATGCACATGAGTGCCTTCATCACGAGGGGCAGCCGGGGGCCTGCAAACTTGGCCATAGCTCTGGGAAAGGAGGCCACACAGTGCAGGCACTACCACCGTGGGCTGCCTCAGGCCCACCTCGGGCCTCCCACAGGCACCCTGGGTCACTTCTACCTCCAGAACCATTGGGCCACGGGCCTCACCACCCAGCCACTACGCCCGTGTGTCCTGTCTCCCAGTCCCCTGCGGGCTCCATCGAGGACCACTGTCCTGGCAACCTGCTCGGTATGTCCAGTGGGAGCCCCGGCTGGCCCTTAAGGTCAATGTACCTGCTTCTCTGGCTGCCCTCTGGCTTAGCTCCCTCCCATGTGACATTGGTGGGCCTCATCTGTGCCTTCCTGCAGATCCCAGGGCCCCTAGATGTTTCTAGAACAGGACTTGGCCTGAAACACGTTGGGGGTGCACGTGGCCCACTTACCTGGCCAGCAGGGTGACCCCTTCCTCATGCCCGGCTGAAGTCCTGAGCAGCTCCCAGCCTCCCTCCAGCCCCATGTGCTGCACCACACCCTCACTCCCGCCTCGGGTCAGCATGGCTTGCAGGGCGGCCACTGCAGAGCTGCGGGAACCGAGGACCTGTGGGCTTGTCTTGGGGGGGGCAGGCACTGGGCCAGATGCTGTGCCACTCCACCCCGCCCCCACCCCACAGACCTGCAGTCGTGGTAGAGGGGTCCCAGGATAGCCTGGACACTGCCCTGCCAGCCACATGTTGCTGGGAGGCCCTGGGCTCTCCCCTCCCCATAGTGGGCACCACTAGGTGACTTGGGACCTCTGGCCTCAGGCTGTGACAACTACTACTATCCCTGCAACTCCGATGAGGAGGGGGTGACAGAGCTCAGCAGTGTCCCCAAGGTCCTCTGCAAGCAAAGGGCCTCTGGTGCTTTCAGGGGAACAACCAGTGGCTTTTCTTACTTGCCTTAAAGACCTTCCTTTAATAAAAAAAGGAAAAACAAGCCCCTTCATGGAAGTGAACCCTAAAAGAACACCAGGATCTGACTCCCACCCAGGCAGCAGATGGAGCCCGTATCAGAGGGCTGGGCAGAGCAGGGGTGGCTGGGGGGAGGTGGGCGCCCCTCTAGACCGAGTGTCTGCACCAGCCTTTCAAGGCATGCAGGGCTGTGCCTTCCTGGTTCTCCTCCCCAGACGTTGTCAGGTACTCCAGGGACCACGTCCACAGCCCCGCCCCTTGGCCTGGCCCCGTGAAGCCCACCTGCCCGCAGTCCTCAGCTTGCACATTTGCACAGCCACTCCCACTTGGGTGGGCACTGAGGACAGCTGCACGCTGAGGCCCCGCCTGGCGCCTGCAGGCACTCGGCCCTCCCATCACCCTCGCAGGGGCCACCACTCACCAGGGCCAGCTGGGTTTGGTGCCTGCCCCTCATGTGGGTGAACCCTCCCAGCTTTCAGGGCCGCTGGTGGGCAGCGTTGGCCTAGCACCAAACCCTCGGCCCAGAGACGGCTCGGCAGGGTTCTCGGCGCGGCCCCCACCTGCGTGCCAGCCTCCTCCCTGCAAGCTGGCCACCTCACACTGGGGCACAGGGAACAGCCATGGCCCACCAGTCCCTCCTGCCAGGCTCTGCCCCTGAGCACGATGGCTCAGCTGCTGGGCACAGGGGGAGGTGAGCTGGAGGCTTGGCACGGGGGCCTCACACAAATCTGGGGAGGCAGCAGGGTGGGTGTGGGAGCATGTGACCCCGGGCCTGTGAGGCTTCTGGGCAGGCCCCAGCCAGACAGTGAGGGGCCTTAAGGACCAGTGCCTGAAGGGCCAGAGGAGCCCAAGGGACCCAGAGGTCTCAGTGGCCCAGGCAGATGCTGGTGGTTGCCCTGGAGCCCAGCAGTGTGGACACAGCCACTGCCCCCGCCCTGAGCCCGCCTGCCCCCATGGTCACCCCTGGGGGTGTGTGAAGTCTGTGGGGATGTCCGTAGGGTGGTCTGGTGTTCGCCTGGACAGGTTCCTAGGGAGTCCACCCTGAGTGTCCACAGACTGTGTTCCCCTGGGATGCTCCTTCGGAAAGCAAGTCCTGGAAGGTGGCTCTCACTGTCCCAGAAGCCTTGTGATTCCAGTGGAGGCCTGGTCAGGGGTGTCCACCCTAGATGCGGGGCAGCCCCCACTAGCTACAGATGCATGGAGAGCCAGTAGCCGCACTGCCGAGGGGCTGTGTGTGGCCCAGGCAGGACTGGTCCCAGCAGGGAATCCCTCCACCCCTGCCCAGGCCTAGAAACCTGGCCAGGGTTAGCTGCAGGCTGGCGGACTCGCTCAGGGCAATCCTTGGCTGGCCCTAATGGGCCTGAAGTGCAGCCCTTTACCCTCAAGCGCAGCCCTTTACCCTCAAGTGCCTCCCTGGCCGTGTACCCTGCTGTCCAGGATTTTTGCGGATGTGGTGCCTGTAAGGGTGTGATCACTGGTGGGCAGCTGCCATCAGATCCAAGACCTGTGCCTGGCTGTGTGTGTCCCAGCCTGGGGTGGTGGTGGCCAGGGGCCCCTAGAGGGGCCCAAGCCCCCATAGCTCACAGGCCATGGAGCTGAGGCCTGGCGTGCCAGGCCCGGTCAAGCTGGCGTCCACTGGCCACTCATACTTTCCACTTAGTCCATACCAAGCTGGGCAGACCCTGGCACACAGCCTCTGCTGGAGTTTTTGCACAGGTCCTGTGGTGGGCAGCCCTGCTGCAGGTTTGGGCAGACTGACACTGGGGTACATCCCAGCCAAGGGGCACATCTGAACCCCGATGCCCAGGAAGGCAGGAGCCAGGCTCACTGCCTCTCAGCTCTAGGGACCCCCCCATCAGCTCCTGCTCACCCTGTGGCCTCAGGTGGAGGCTGGGGTGTGTGGGGCCCTGAGGTGCCACCTTGGTGGGCCTGGGAATGGGCCTCGAGACCAGGACCCAGGGCCCATTTAGCACAAACCACAGGACCCCAAGCCCCAATGAGAGCCAGCCCTGCTGACGTGGTGGCTGAGCGCTCCTCACAGGGCCAGAGGCTGCTGGTCACTGCGGAGTCTGTCTGGAGGCGGGGCACTGATCACATGCAGAAGAGCCAGAAGCTAGAGGTACGGGCTGAGGCTGCACCCCAGGTTCCCCACAGCTCTTCAGAAAGGGGCAGCTCTCTGGCCTGTCCTGAGGGTCCCCAAAAAGGCCCCTTTGGCACCCTGAGACCTGCACTGCCTTCCCAGCCACCCCCGCCCTGCTAGAGGAGGGCGGCCCAAGGAAGCTGTGCTCCCAGCAGGGACAGCGTTCCGGGGCTGTCACTAGGGGGAGGAGCCAGCTCCCCCAGCACAATCTGGCTCCTGGGCCAAGCCCCCAAGCCCCCAACCCTCGTGGGCTCTCCCAGGGTCCACACCCTCACTGCCAGGGGAGCTGGGAAGCTGTACACAGTGCCAGAGGCACACAGTCAGGATGCACACTTGGGCTCATGCCCCACATGGGAGTGGGAGGTGAGTTACCTGCAGGGCTCGAGGCTCCTGGAGACTGGAGCCGGGCTGGCACCCCCCCTCTCTTTGGCCTGCAGGTTCTGGGGCAGCCGAACGCCCAGGGTGCAGCTGATGCGCAGCAGGAGTGCCGTGAACAGCTGGGGGTAGAGCTCGAGCACGGCGGGCCCGGACGCCGGGGCGGACATGACCTCACACAGTGCGCAGGTGGCCTGTGGACAGAGGCGTCCTCAGGCTGGCCCCAGAGCCATCTCCGGGGGGCCGGCCACAGCAGAGGGTCAGCCCTGCACCAGGACCCAGCCACTCGGCATCCGCCAGTGCGTGTGCCACGGGCCTTGGAGGCCCCAGAGGCCTGGGCTCAGGGAGGGAGGGCCCTTGGAGCAGGAGGCTGCCTCGGGGACGGGCCTTCAGCCGCCTGTTCTCGGTTCCTTAGCAAGGGGAGGACAGGACGCTCACAGCTGCTTTACTGCCGAAAACACTGCCAAGCCAGGATAATTTTTCCAGGGGATGCAACAGAATGGCCTTCTCTGGGGACCAGCACCTGTGGGGCCTTCACAAGGTGGAGCTCCGAGCGTGCCAGCTCCATGGGGCCCTCCTGCCAGCGGCCCCCTCGTCAGGAGAGGGCCCCCACTCACCACGAGGGGCAGCAGGGTGGCCACGCGGCTGGGAGAGCCACTCAGCAGGGAGGCCCGGCTCTCCTGGAAGGGTGCATCTCTGCTCATCCTCTCCAGCAGCAGCCCCAGGACGGGTGTGGTCAGGCTGGGCTCTGTGGCCAGTGCCCGCCACAGGGCGCAGCTCTGGCTGGAGCAGAGTGGGAGGATGGTCACCTCGAGGCCCCTGCTGGGCCTGGGTCCAGCACCCCCACCCTCATGCCCACCAGCTCAGCTCCAGCAAGACCTCAGATGAGAGGGCCCGCCATCCTCTGACCCCAGGAGTCTGTAAGCAGCTGCCTGGGGGTGAGCAGAGCCGGCAGTAAAGGGCAGGGAGAAAGGTCTGCCCACATAGGGGGACATGCTTCAGGCAGGAGAGAGACTGAGATGCCAGGGACATGCCGTGGATGGCACACTCGGGGGCAAGGATGGGCCATGCTGTGGGGGCACCCAGGAGGCTGGTGGCCCGGCGGGGGACCTGCAAAACCGTTTCCAAGCGCAGTCGACTCTGCACTTGCCCGTGACTACACAGGGCAGGAAGAGAAAGGGCAACTGTGCCGAGCACCCAAAGCCAGCACGCTGCAGAGAAGCCGGAGGGGGTGCCACGGGACGCCGGCAACGCCGAGATCAAGGCCAGGCAGAGAACCTCTGATGACAGCAGGCAGGCAGCAGGGGTCGCCCTGAACCCTGTGCACTTGGAGGGGTCCCCAGGAGCATGAGGTGACACGGGGACAGCTGTGCAGAGTCAGGCACAGGGCACGGGCTTCGGGCAGGGGTCTCTGTGGGAAGCACGGGTGCTGGGAGCTGGAGGGTGGCCCAGCTTGGGGGGTTCTGTGCAGATGGCCACGCCGTGGAGAAGGGATGGCAGAGCACACAAAAGTGTGCCAAGGGCACAGCCTGAAACCTGGGGTCAACAGACAACCTTCCGGGCAGCTTCAGGCCCACAGGGGAGGTACAGGGACCCCTGGCCGGCCTCCCACCCAGTCCAGGGCCCTCATGCGGTAGGGGGATGGCAGGCTTGGGGCCCTGTCCACCCCAGCAGGCCAGTGGGTGCTGGATACCTGTCGAACGGCAGGGGACTGCCCAGGAGGCTGGACACCAAGGCTGCTCGGTGCTGGGAGGCCAGGAGGCACACGCTGTGCTGTGCAGCCTGCAGGACCTGCTCCTCCTGGGTCTCCTGCAGCTTGGAGCGCAGCACGCTCACGATCTCGGGCACCTGCGGCCACACAGCTATGGCAGTCAGGCCCCGGGGCACCCCTGTGCCTGCAGCCATCCCACGAGGCCAGAGCCCCTCCCCACTGGCTGGCGGCACTGGGGCACTTGGCGCAGCAGGAGGCGAGTCTGCTGGGTCAGCACTGGGGCCAACAGCCCCCAGGACGCCTGGCCTCCAGCTGCTGCCTAGAAGCTGGGTGCAGCCCACAGGCAGAAGGACAGGCAGAGCAAGGCTGCAGGCAGCCTGTCCCCCAGCCCAGGCACGTGGGGCAGGCGGGGAGGACTCCGCAGCCCCTGACCAGCCTCCAGCTGACCCGGTGTGCTGAGAAGGCCGTCCAGGCAAAGGCCTCACCACGGGCCCCTTGTGCACCCAGGGTCACTGGTCCTGAGCACAGTGGCCCTCGCTGCCGACGCTGCCCAGCAGAGGTACAGCTGTGGGGGCTGCCTCCCCAGAGCCAGCCTGGTATCGCTCAAGGGGCTTGTGGACTCGATGACAAGCGCTTCTGTTCAGGACCTCTGGTGCTGCTGGCCTTCAAAGGACCTGGGCCTCTGCTGCACCCCACGCTCTCCCGTGCCCAGACACATCTCCCTGACCCGGCAGCTGCCCCAGGAGAGAACCCGCCCCTGCCACGCCAGCTCCTCTGCATCACAGCAAGGGGCTGCTGAGCTCCGAGCGGTTCTCCCACCCAGCTGAGCGGGGTCTTGCTCCTTAGTCTGCCAGAAGAGATGGCACACATGGCCGGGATCCCCCATGCACGCTCTGCTCCCACAGGGGCAGACCCGCCTCTCCATCGAGGGCTGTGGTCCCTTGAAAATGCGGGCCTGGGTGACAGCAGGTGGGCGCCGGCATGAATGCTTGGCCCCGGACATGGTTCACCGGCCCCCGACTGTCCTTCCTCTGCTGCCCTGACGGGTAAGCCCAGCGTCCTTTCAGGAGCCTGTCACCCTGCGGCAGGCTCCCCGGCACGCGGGGACGCGGCCGCTCCTCGACACGGCGTGTGCAGGTTCCTCCTTCCTTTACCCTGCATTCTGTTCTTTTGGATGTTGGCTCTTTCCCCGTGACTTGTCTAATTTCTAATTGTTTCTGCAGGTCTGTCTATCTTTCATATTTTCTCTGATTTTGAATACTTTTTTCAGCATCCAGAACCCCGCAGTGTGTGTGGCAGCTTGAACCTGTGCTTCCCGTGAGCCTTGACCACAGTGTCCCTGTGCTGGGGCGAGGAGGGCGGTCGGGCGGGTGCCACCCAGGCTCCTGGGGCCCCTGGGCTGGCAGGCGGGCCCATCCAGTTCCAGACAAGGTCATGTCCTACTGTCCCCCCTGAGGGGCTCAGCCTGGCCCGCTCCGGGCTCCCCCGACCCTGCACCTGAGCCCTGGGCGGCTCCTCCCCTTACTGCTGAGCAATGGCGGGGCCTCTGCTTCCTGCTGCTCCTTCACAACAGCTCAGCCAAGGAATGGTTCGCGTGCCGCCAGCTCACCTGCTGCAGGCCTACGACTCAGTGGTTTTCACTGTTTTTGCAGGACTGTGCAACCATCCCCACCCCCAATTCTGGAGCATTCCTAACACCCCAAAATTAGAAACTCCTCATTAGCTGCCATACCCTAAAAACTTGACTGCTAATCGCCTACTGTTGATCGGAAAGCCCTACAGATAGCAAACAACCGATGAGACCGCACTGTGTGTCGCTGTCCCAGACCGCGCTCCCACAGCGGAGGAAGCTGGAGAAGAGGGGACGCCTCTCAGCGCTCGCCCCGGCGGCGCAGACACTGAAACGCGAACGGCGCACAGCGGCGCAGCATGGGCCCTGCACAAGGACGATGCACGGTTTCGTGAAGGGTTCCACATCAAAAATTTTTTGAATTAAGAAAAGGAAAGTGCTTTTTCAAGTTGTCACAAATCTAAAAAAATTTTTCCCAATGTATTGTAAAACACTCATGTGTAAGCACAGCCACACAGTTCGATCTGGGTTGTTCAAGGGCCCCCTGTATACACATGCATGGAGCCACCAATGGCTGCTGCGCCAGCCTGTCTGACCCCCTTCCAGGCACAGAACCATCAGGCACTTTTCTACCACTGCGATCTGACCAGGGGAACCACACAGAAAGCAAAAGAAAATCCAGACCTTTCCCAGCAAACCAAACCGTCACGTCTGTGCCCTTTGCTCTCCCTCCCGGGCCCTGACTCTGCCAAGCCCTCCACGCCACCAGCCCCCTTGGCACACAGCCGCCTCCAGGGCCCCTCCCTTTTCTCCGTCAGCAAACGCCTGCCCATCCCTCTGAGAAGGTATTTGCCACAGAAGACTTGTGTCCAGTCATACACTTCCACAAATCAACACGAAAAGCAGAGACAATCCAGAAGAAAAAATGGGCAAAAGACTGGTATCCTCACTAAACAGGACAGGTGGCCAATAAACGTGAAAGCATTGAACTTCATAAGCCATCAGAGATGCAAATCAGACCCCAAGGGGAAGCCATCAAACACCCATCAGAGAAGAAAGGGAGCCGCGGGCAAGGACAGGCAGCCCGGCTGCTGGAGGGAGGGGCGTGTCCCTTGCCCGAGGCCGCCTGGCAAACCCCTCCGCTGCACGGGGCACCTCCTGTGGGTCCCAGTGGCTCTCCAGGGCATGCCCCCAACTGAAATGCATCCCCAGGGCCAAAGGACCCGGACGTGACAGCCCAGCTGGGGACTGCCCAGGTGTCCACTGAGGCAGGCGGATGCGCAGCCCGGGCCATGTTCACACGGAGGAGTGACATGTGAATGACAGGTGCCCAAGTCTGCGGACAGCAGGGGTGTCCTCCCACTGGCGCCGTGAGGGGCGGGATGGCTGCATCTCCGTGAGGCGCACCTGCCAGGCAGCGTCACGTCCTGCAGTCCGTGGGTGGCGGGGGGGGGGGCCCCGGGGCTGCTTGTGCGTGCCCATGCCACCCCAGGGCCACTGCCCAGACAGGCCCACTTCTGTGCTGGTGGGCTTGAGTATGGAGCTTAAAAGCCCTGCAGGCAGAGACCCCTGCCCTGCCGCCCACCTCCTCAGGACTGGCACGTGCTCTGGCAGCTGCTCGGTCCTCGGGGCCTCAGACCCACAAGGACCTGGAACGGGACACACATCCCAGCGGCTGCTTCACACACGCCTGACAGTCAAAGCCAGTGCTCATGTGGGGACAGCTACAGACAGCCATCTGAGCTGCTTGGGCGTGGCCAACGGGCTCCCGGGCAGGCACGAGCGGCCCCCAGCAGAGCACCTGCGTTTCCTGCCGACTTCCTTTGCGCCCTTCCACTTCTGAGCAGGGGAAGGGAGGTTGGGCGCCCCGACCAGCCCGGCCCCGCACCCCTCACCTTCTCCAGGAGCACGCCGCCCCGCTCCTTCAGCAGGCAGTGGATCATGACCGCAGAGGCTCGGGAGCAGCTCTGGTCGGCGTCTCCCAGGCCCTCAAACGTGGTTAGCAAGAGGCTGATGAGCTGATCTGGTGGGAGGCGCTTCCCAATAACCTAGGAGGGCAGTTGTGCTCGAAGAGTTAGAGCGGCTCCGCCCCTCCAGGCCTGACACCCCGCAGCCCCAGCGTCAGTGTAGAAGGGGAAGCTGCCCCCACTCCCTCCTTCCCCAGTTCAGGAGCTCCTGCCTGGGACCAGACCCCGGACCCTGCAAGGTGGTCCCAGGGTGGCTGCAGGTCCCGGGCCAGAGCCTCCTGGAGGTGCCCTCTGACCAGTGGGGTGAGCTGGGAGTGGCCCGTCGGTGCAGCCACTCTGTGGCTCTCTGTACACAGAGAATCAGGAAGGGCAGACAGCGTCTTCTGCAGCCCTGGACGGCCTGGCCATTGAAACCCCACAGGACCCTAAGTTACCCACCAGCCCAGCAGCTGAGAGCAACCAGAAATTACACAGTAAGGCAGCATGAAGGTTGGGGAAATGCTGGCCAGTGTACTGCAAAGCTGTGACTGCACCCAGTGCCTGGGTGTCCAGGACCGGGCCCCCCCGGCACTCACCCTGGCATGGCCTCCCAGTGTCCGCGCCCCCCCACCCCAAAGGGCCCTATTGCCCCCTTGCCCCTTCCCGCTCTGCAGGAGAGAAAGCCTTTGGACCCGAGGGCTACTTCCAGACCCACATGGTATAACACCGCTGCCCTGGTGAGGGGCTCAGGGTTGAGCCCCGGACCACACCCTGCCCTCTGCGCCTTGGAGGGCAGGCCCCACGCAGGGCAGATGGAGGTGGTTGTCAGACAGTGACTGAAAGAAACCTGCCCATGGCCCGTACACCCTGCAGGACCCACCAGGCGCAGGGGCTGCTCTGAGTCCCCCTCGGCCCCAGGCAGCGCCTCCTCCCCTGTGTAGACGCCCCGGCAGGTACCTGGGCTATGCTGTGGCAGGTGTGGGAGAGGACAGCAGGGTCAGGATGCACGAGGCTGTCTTTGAGGACGAGGAGCTGCTCGACCACAGGGTCCCGGTAGTTGCGGGAAAAGCCTGTGGTGGCAGGAGAGAGTGTGGAGCCGGGCAGAAGCCTCCCCTGGCCACCCCAGGCCCAGGCTGCTCCTCGTGCCTCCAGCACCTCTGTGCAGCCAGGGGCTCACCCTCATAGCCCAGCTGCAGGTACATCAAGGAGTAGATGCAGCTAACAGCCTCCTGGCGGCTGGCAGGCCACAGGTCCGCACACCGTGGGGAGAAGAGGCCAATGAGGAGGCCCAGGTTGTGGAAGGGCACCAGGGCCTGGAGAGGCAGACAGCGAGTTGCTGCAGGGCCCTGGGCGGGGGCAGCCAGAGAAGGGGGTGTGGCCCTGGGGCTGCTATGCGTGGGCAGGTGCCACTGGCACTCTCACCCCGATACAGGCAGGAGTATGGCTGGGAGGGCAGCCCCGGGCACTCCCCATGGCCAGCACAGCCCCTGTTGAGTTTTCCCACTAGAAGGCAGGCCTGCGGGCTCTGCTCAGCTCTGGCCACACCTGGGCTATGGCTCCAAGAGGGAAGGAGGGCTGGGGAGGTGTGTGCGGGCAGGAGGATGCCAAGATGGGCAGCAGGGGGCGGGGCTCTGCGGACACAGCTGACATTCGTGGGAAGTGTCTGCCCTGCTGGTGAGGGGCTGCAGGAGACCCCTTCTCATCCCGACTGGGTCCTGGCCCCCCATTCAGAGACTTTTCTTCTCTCCTCAAACATGGAGCCTTTATAACTGCCCAGCCCTTAGATGGCCTTACTTCCTGCTGCATACCTGCCCCAGCACCCCCGACCCTCGGCCTGCCCACCCCAGCCCCGTGCAGGCGCCTTCCAGAAGGGGCCCTCCCTGGAGGAGAGAAGGCTGGACAAAGGGCCTAGGGGACCAGTTGCTGCTTCCCAAGAGAGGACAGGTGCCTCACTGGGCACGTGAAGACGAACTTTCATTGGACCAGGAGTATGTGAAAAGCAGGCCACGAAGGCAGGGAGTGGAAAAACCCAGCTGGGCACGTGCAGATTCCGCCACGTCCGTGCCATCTCCACTCTGGGGCTTAGAAAAAAACAAACCACCAAGGGAAAAAGCCTACAATCACCCTGACCGACAACAGAAAGTTATCCGACAGCATCTAGTTATTCCTAATGAAAAGTCCTCATTAAAACAGATGGATGTTTCTGGAATATAAGAAATAAATATTGCCAACCCCGTCAGGCATCATGCTTAACAGTGACACCGTCTGCCGGCCGGGGCTGCCGCCAGCCCCCACCTTGCTCTGGAAGGCAGCGCAGCAAGAAGGCGCTGCACCGCTGAGGGTGGAAGGCAGTGCTCCCGGCGTCAGAGGACATGCTCGCCACCGAGAGGCACACAGCCGGGATCGGCGTGGGGGTGATGGGAGCATGTGGTCCCTGCGCTCCAGGTCCACAGGTTCCCTCAAACGCAATCCAGGAGAAGGCTACCTGGTGACAGCAACGGCCGGGGGATCTGCAGGCCACAGCCCTGCTGTGTCCGAGGGCCCCAAGGGCCTGCGCAGAGACCTGCTCTTAAAGGGCTTGCTAAGCAAATCAATCTGCCACCTCCATGCGATCACCACCAAAACTGCAGCCAGCACTTTAGGGCGTGTCCAGCGTGCGCTACAATCAGCTGGACTCATGGCCTGCAGAACACGGTGGAATTCTGAGACAGTGTGATACCAGCTACTTGGAAATACTGAAACGCACAGTGACTGTGCAGCCGCGAAGGGGAGCCCCTCCCACGGGCCACCACCGCCCCCGTGTCCGCCTCCTCCGCGGCATCCCTGCGCCCAGGCCCCTCTGCCCTTGCCAAGCTCTTGCTTCTGCGTCGAGCGTCCTCATTCCCGTTGACCCCACTGCCCGTCGCCCTGCGCTCACGTGGTGGACATGGCACACGTCAGACCCACTGAGGTGTGGGCTGCTGAGGACGAGGGTGCCCGTCAGACTCGACACCGAGTGGCCAGCCCTGAGGACGATTCCTGGCTCCGACAGGTCCTCCACCCACCTCCCCAAGAGGGCCCGGGACTTGCTGGAGTCCAGGAGGAGTCTAGGGCCGCAGGCAGAGGAAGGGCAGCCTGCAGGGGCCCTGGGTGCAAAGGCTGCAGAGTCCCCGGCCAGAGGAGCAGGAGCGGGACCTGGGTACTCACGCTGATGTACAGGTGCTCACGCAGGTGCTGCAGGAGGCAGGCGCTCAGGCCCAGAGCCCGCGCCCGCTCGTGGCCCTGAGGGGACTTGATCCACGGCCTCAGGTGCTGGGAAAGAGGGGGCTTCACACAGGGGCAGCTCAGGCCAGCCAGGAAGCAGAAGCCTGTGCGCGCCGGCGGGTCGTGGTCCTGCCTTGCTTGGCTGTGGGGCCAGCGGGCCCGGTCAGAGCAGGTCACCCGCTGCAGCTTCTTCTGCCCTGTCACTCTGTCCTGCTGGCCTGGCCCACAGAGGTACAGGGTGCTCCTGGAAGCAGGTGGGTCCCACCCCTACCTCCCACAGTGCTGGAAACACAGCCACCACATGCCCGTTCCCCAGGGGGCCAGGAAGCTCGTGTCTGGGGCACCTGTCGTCTCTCCACCCCAGCATGTGACTGAGGGGAGGCGAGAACAGGCCAGGCCCCCACCTGCATCAGGGCCCACCCCCATGTGCACACCTGTCTGCTCAGACCCCCCACACCCACATGAGCAGAGAGCACAGAACTGTCCCTGCAGCACCTGGCGGCAAAAGGCAAAGGGAACCAGGTGAGGGGCCGCGTGTGCGCCACCGCTTACCTCCACCATGGTCTGCAGGCCCTGGGGGGTCATGTTCCGCTGAAGGAGGCTCGTCAGCAAATCCTCAAGGGCGCGCATGGTGTCCAGGTAGAGGCACTGGGAGCAGGTGAGGCACCACCTCCAGGGTCCCTGCCACCCACAGAGGCCTTCCTGCTGCCCCCCAAGATGCAGGCACATGGGAGGGGGCCCGTGGTGATACCTCTTGGCCACCATCCTGCCCCTCGGGCTCGGGCAGCACAGCCATGACGCTGTGCAGGCAGCCACGGATCATGTCCACCCTGGCCTGCTCTTCCAGCGGGGGCCCCAGGGAGCTGAGTGCGGAGTTAAGGGTGGAGACTCTCTGAGCGGCACAGCACCCATGCCCAGCACTCATGCACAGATAGGTCCCTGAGCCTGCATCAAGGATACACCAGGTGAGTGCAGGCGAGCATGGCCTTCTTCCGAATAGGTGTTCTCAGGGAGTCTGGGGGTTCGGCCTTGATGAACTCCTAGGGGTGGGGCCACACAACTCAGCCCGGGGCCAAAGGGCCAGCTTCCCTCCCAGTCAGTCTTCCGGTCAGTGCTGGCTACACACTGACTCTGTCCTCAACCCCAGGGGGTGCTGGGGCCCCTCACTGCAGACCTCTGCGTCCTGCCCCGGCCCACCTGCCCTGTCTGTGCTGGCACCCTCGAAGCTGTCCTGGGACCCAGCCCGAGCTCACCACCAAGTGTGCCACCAGCTCTGCTTTCTGCGAGAAGTGGAAGGAGCCGGCTTGCGGGCTGTTGCAGATGGCCTGGGTGGCCATGTGCAGGCTCTGGACGAGGCACAGCTTCAGGGCCGGGTCCTGGCGAGACACAGGGCTGCAGAGGGCCGCTGGCGCCTGCCCCCTGTGCAGCTCTGTCCTGAGGGCAGGCCGCTGCCCCTTGGCCATGGGGCTCAGCCCCGAATGGATAGCTGCCAACAGCAGCAGAGGCCAGGGCACATGCCTTCCCTTCCCTCTGCTTCCTGCCAGCCAGTCATCCAGCTATCACTGAAGCCACAGGACAGAGAGGGGGTCTGTGAGGGGCCCCTGAGGCACCCAGCTCTCTCTGCCTGGACCAGGCCTGGGGGCCACCACAGCCCTGGGCAGACCCTGCTGTGTGGCTGAGCGCCCGAATGCTCAAGGGCTTGGGAAAAGGCACGCCTCTCAGACTAGCCCTGCATCCCACCCACCAACCCCAGGAGACCCAAGGGGGCACGGGCTGCTCCCAGATGGAGGCTGCAGGCTGGTGCCGAGGTTCCAGAAGGGAAATGTCAGTGAGGCCAGAGACCGCTGCCCGTGCCTCAGAGCTCACCCAGGCCCTCCCCTCGTGGTGAGCCCCCATGAGCACGAGGGGCTGAGGAGAAGGCCTGTGGCCCGTGGCTCCCCACCCACCACCCAGAGCCCAGGGCAGAGCGGGCTCCCGGCCCCTCAGTATGTGGGGGCAGGCCGGGAGTTCCTCAACGCCCTCCCCCTGGACTGGGCCCAGGAGGCCCGGGAGGTGCCCCGCGGCCGCCCCTCCACAGGCTCTGCCGGAGCCCACAGCCCAGAGGAGAGAGGGCAGGTGCAGCTCACCCGTCACCCCGGCACACTGTACCTTGGTCTCTACCTTCACTCCCAGAACCTGAACAACAAACAACAAAGTGAGTCGCACTGTGGCCTGGTGCAATGCCCCCACCCGGACTGCCCGGGCACCCGCCTTGGTGCTGAAGCACTGGAACATGTTCCGCAGGATGTCCGACTCCACCCGGGCCAGCAGCAGCTCAGGGGGGGCCCGGGCCGCCACGTGCCCGTAGCACAGGATCAGGGCGCTCTTCACCTTGTCCGTCTCGCTCTCACTTCGGTCCTGAGTGGCCAGAGTCGGCAGCATGTCCGAGATGAGCTAACCTCAGCCCCAGTGGGGAGCCCTGGGGAAGAGTCCCCAGTCCCTCTGGCACAGGCGTGCGGCTGTCAGCAAGTTGGAGGCAAGCCCGGGCTGGGGGGCAGTACTGGCACACCCCAGGGCATCCCTCCACAGGGACAGCAGGACAGGCCAGCCTGGCCAGGTGAGGGCCTGCTGGGCACCAAGTGGCAGACAGGAAAGGGCCAAGTAGGGGCTAAGGTGGGGGGGCGAGCAGGAGCTGGGGCACAACAGAAAGGCCAGAGTTGGGGTTGCCGCCCACTGGGGCAGCTTGCACAGGGGCCTGTTTGGACCTGTGCACACAGCATGGTGGGCAGTTCCCACACACCTGGCCCAGCACTGGGGTCCCATCACTGGGACTGGCACTGAGACCAAACACCGTAACACTGAGGCCTAAAGGCCGGGGGCAGGCGGGGTGGCCAGTCCCTCTGGAGTCAGGCTTGGGCGAGAACGAAGCCTCAGCTGGCTACCAAGGGACACGCCACTCTTGCTGCCCCAAGCCCATCACTGTGGGGCTGGCGGGGGCAGAGGGCTGCATGCCCCGTGTCACCAGCTGGGAAGGGCCCACACACTCTGCCCACAAGTGGAGGCCAAAGGCTACCTCCCTGCCCCATGGGCAGGCTTCAGGGAACGTTGAGCCCCAAAGCGCCGGGACCTCCACCTCCCAGGCCCTCAAAACATAGGGAGTTGAGGCTGAGACAAAATTCCCAGTCCCACCCAGAACTGCCCCAAGCTGTCAGCCTGACCTTTGTACCTTAAAAATGTTGAAAATGCCAATGGATTTTCTCAACACATTTGACTTTACAAAGTCCTCCAGTTGGGCTAGGGTGTCGTCCAGGTGGGAGATGGCACAGATCCCAAAACAACAGGCAAGGTCCTGGGGAGGTGCAAAAGTGCCCACACGCCTGGGCCGGGACACGCGTGCACACAGCCCAGGACAGCTGTGCCTGGCCCATACAGGCTGAGCCTGAGACAGGCCCGCCCGCCCGCCCGCCTGCCTGGGGCTCACCTCGCGCTCGGCCTCCTCCTGGGAGCTGGCTGCCTCCAGCAGCTCACGCAGCTGCCCCCTCACCACCTCCTTACTCGAGGTGGCGCCCAGGGTGGTTCCTATGCACTTATACAGGAAGCTCTACAATAAAGCCGGCAGTGTGGTCATGCCACGCCCCCGAGGGAAGGATGCCCAGACCACCACGGGGCTGCTCCTGGCAGTGTCCACACGGCCACTGGGGCGCAGGAGGGGCCGTCAGGAGCCCACGTCCCTGGCCAACACAAGGACCTGGTGAGCTCTGGGCAGCAACTGAACAGAGGGTGGGGCTGTGGGTCCCGCATCTCCCAGGAATCAGCCATGAAGAGGAGACACAAACGCCTTCTCCCCTGGCTCTACCAGGCCCACAGGGGATACCCGAGCAGGCTCAAGCTGAAAGTAATGCAGGGTCAGGGCACAAGAATTCGGAGCCTGAGGGTCATGTCCAGAACCCCAGGACAGGCTATCCTCTGATCTCTTCCAGGGGCGCACCCCCCAGTGCACCTTCTCCTGGGGCATCCTGTTGTAGCAGGGCAGCTGCTTGCACATCTCCAGGCTCAGCCGGCAGATCCATGTGTCATCAGACACAACGACCAGGGTGTCCCGAAGGAACTGCGGGCAGGAGCCAAATGGTGAGGCCAGGAGCCTAAGGCCCGGAGGGTCATGCACAGTGACCTCAGGGTGGTCCTGCACCAAGGCTTCGCAGAGTCTGCAGATGACCTTTGAGCCCAGGCAGAGCAAACCCTCGGTGGTCAACATGCAACCGACTGAGGGTGCAGATGGCTCTGGGCTGGGCAGGAACAGGACAGTGGCTTTCATGGCCAGGGCAGCTCAGAGTCCCTGAGACTTGGCCCTGTCACAGCAGGGTGGGCAATCTGAAAGGGCAACGGACAGTCCCCTCACCCCGGGACACCCACCTATCCTCCTGCCCCTCCCCCAGCCCCTTGACACATCTGCTGCCCTGGCCAGAAGGACCCCCACGCCCACGCCCACCCCAGGACAGACCACGCCCTCCACCTGGCCCTCTCACCGTCAGCAGCTTCTCCTCCCACTCCCTCTGTGACAGGGTCTCCTCGGTATATTCTGAAATGGCCAGTCACACATTCAGCCCATCGCAGCCGGCAGGAGTAGAGAGCTCCGAGAACCCTGCCCCAGCACCCTCACCAGCCCCAAACCCTGACCAGAGCCCCCCAAGGGCCAGTCCCACCCTCCCCGGGCACAGAGGAAGCCCCAGGGCAGAGTCCACATCCCAGGTGCCACCAGGTGCCACCCAGCGTGGGGGCCCTTCCCTACACCACAGTAGAAACTGCTTCTTCTGCCTGACAGGGCCCTGGTCCCCACAGGCCAGGTCTGAGGCAGGCTGGCAGAAGCAGGGCCACAGATGGACAGGCACCGCCCACCTCCCGGGGCCTTACCATCCAGGCACTTCAGCAGCAGGGCGATGGCTGCTGCCCACTGCTGGCCCAGCAAAGGGTGGATATTCTGATGCAGGACACTGAGGAGGCGCAGCGAGGCCACTCCGCGGCCACCCCCCACGTAGGGGCTGGAGGCCACAGTCTGAGGGAGGCAGGGAGCCTGAGGAGTGGGGGCTCGGGCCCGCCCAGGGCTACAACACCCGCCCACCAGGTGGGTAGCTCCCCACAGCCCCACCAGAGCACCTGGCCCTACTGAGAGGCAGCCTGGGGACACGGGGACATGGGCACAGCCTGCTCCCGTCCTGATGCCCATCGGGAGGGGATGCAGCCAGTGTGCATTAGGCGCAAAATACTGAAGCAGGATGCTCACCAGAAGTCTTGTGGTTATGGCGAAGGGAGACGGGAGGGCTGCTGGAAAGGGGGCCAGGAAACACTCAGGGGGCTGCCTGCACCCTGTGGTGGGGGCAGGGTGGGAGGAGGGCCAGAGCTGGGGCTGGGGTAGGGTGGAGACGGGGGGCAGTGAGGTCCGAGTCTGGGGAAAGCGGGCAGGGCGCACCATTGCTGTCATACTGGATGAGGAGGGCACCGGCCCCTGCCTCCTGCCTCTTCTGGGCCAGGTGCACGAGGCTCCTGCAGAGCGGGGTCAGCGCCCCGGTGAAACACACAGGGGTGAGGAACTCGAGCAGGTATGGCCAGAGGACCTGTAGGCATAGCTATGGTCTGTCTCTGGTGGACAGCGGCTCAGAAGCACCGGCAGCCAGGGCAACAGCCTTAGAAGAGCCCTCACTGCAGGCTCACGAAGGCCTGGCCAGTGCTGAGAGCAAGGCCACCCGAGTGCCCCCGAGGCTCCCCACTGCCGGGTCCAGAGTCACCAGGCGGGGCCAGGGGCTCGAGGGCCAGCTGCTTGGGTGTGCATGCCGGGGCAGGTGTGGGCGGGACTGCACACTCACGTCACTCATCCTGTCCACGGTGGTGCTGACCAGGTAGAGCGTGCTGACGCTGACAGCCCGCACGCTGTCGGCCACGAGGTCCTCCCCGTCAGGGCCCAGCTGCTGAGACTGGGGACAGGGGACAGGGGGCAAGGCAGGAGCCCATGTGGGGGACGTGGCCACGAGGACACAGCCTGTTGGAAGCAGGACAGACCCTGCCCAGCCTCCCCCAGGGCGACACCCAGGTGTCTGCCCCTGGCGGGAAATGCATGTGTTGAACTAGCCCAGGGCAACAGGCTCACTGGCTTAGCTCTGGTCTCCAAACTAAAGGAAAACCCGAGCCCGTCCTGTAAGACACCAATTCCGAAAGAGCTAACTTTATCCCTGACTTCGGCAATGCTGACAACCACAGATATGAGAGGGCCTTTGTGCCAGTGACGACTGCCTAAGGAAACTCCACCTGCCGTCGGGAGCAGCTGACCTGGCTGGCGGCTCCCGTGAGACGCCTGGCGTCCTCTCTGGTGAGAAGCACTGCAAAGCCCCTCGGGAGCCCTCCCGACGCCTTGTCCGAGCCTCCCCGCTGATTCTTGGAAATACCAAAAGCAGACTGACCAGCAAGAGAAACTGGCAAAACCATAAGACTGCAAGAGACTTTCAGTGTCTCTCACTTAGAAGTCAAAGATCACAGCAAAAACAGGGATATTTAGGCTTGCAAAACAATTGTTGAAGCATGCCTAAAAATGCAGATAGAACATTATACCCAGTGCATGTGAACAACTTTAAAGCCTAACTGTCTATTAGGCAAAACAAAAAATAAATACATCTCATCAAACTCTTAAAAGCAAAAATAAACCTGGCCAGATTCAAGGTAGACAATGCAATAAATTACACATCCACAATAGCAATGAAAAGCTATTCACTTAGGAAACTTTAAATACCCTAAAAGAAACTTTGGGCTAAACCCAAATAGAAACTGAAAGCTGTCTTACAGTGAACACAGAGATGGCGCACAAACCTATCAGAAGCAGGCATGATATCACAGACAAAAGAACATGAACCTGACCCCAAACACACTAAAGGTGGAAAAATAGTATGAACCAAGAACCATAAAAAAATGTGCAAGATTGTAGCACATGACATGTAGAATTTGATTCAGGAAATCAATAGTGAAACACATGATCACCACTGAGGAAGAAACTACTGACTCGGAAGAACAGATTGAAGACCTCAAGGGAAAAGAAGGAAAGGGGAATTTTTAAAGAACAAAAGATAAGTTAAAAGGTATGAAAGATGGAAGTACTAACTAACATTCAGCTAATAGAAGTACTGGAATTAGACAGAAATAAACATGGAGACCAAGAAAAATTTATAGAAAGAAGGAGACAAATTCCCCAGAAATAGGCGGTAAATGGAGCTCATTTGAAAAGGTCCCACAGAGCTGGGTCAAGGCGAGCCTAGAATGTCTCGTGCCGAAAAGGAAAGGGAGGCTCAAAGGATGCTGGAGACACGCTGCACGGACACAGGAGCCGGCTCAGTGGGGACTTTCGGTGCCACCAGGACCAACGACACAGACCATGGGTTACAGCTCGTGAAACAAGAAGCTGTGAGCCCACCTTGGCCCATGTGCGAACACGAGAATGGAAAGGCTCTTGGTCACAACAGAAGGCAAAAAAATTTACAGAAAAATGAATGGAGTTAGAGAATCATCAACTGATGCTAAAACCAGTAGGTAAAAGTTTAATCGGCTAACTATCAAAGTTTATTCATGTTGTAGCATATGTGGCAGAGTTTCCTTCCTTTTTAAGGAGGAAAAATTCATCCACTGGTGGACTTGGGTTGCTCCTACATTTTAGGTACTGTGAACATGAGTGTACAAATCTCACTTCAAGATCTTGCTTTCAACTCTTTTTGGGTATATATTCAGAAGTGGAATTGCTGGGTCATGCGGTAATTCCAATTTTAACTTTTCTGACGACCAGCCATACTGGTTTCCAAGGCACCTTAAGTATTTAACATTAGGGAACTTGGCTTTTGACATTTCCTAAGTGATAAGAGTGTTTTGGCTGCCTGCGGCACTGAGCACCTGCTCTCCTTTAGGGAGTCTGGAATTTTGGTGGTTGTGGCTGGCAGAAAGCGCCTACCTGGCCTGCCTCCAACTAAAACCTTGGACCCTGAATCTCAGGAATCTTGCACTTGTGTCGTGGCATTTCCTGCAGCAGGAGGGAGGGTCTTCTGCGTGGCAGCTTCTGGGAGAGCATGAGAAATCTGCCCATGGATGTAGCCATGAGTACAACTGCCTCTCAGTCCTGCAAGTCCTGAATCACTAAGCATACAGGTGGTCTCGGGGCCCTCGACCCCGAGACACACTAACAAAGCTACTCAAGAAAACCAGATGGCCTAAATGGTCCTTTGTTTCTTAAAGAAGTTGAATTCATGGTTAAAAACTTTCCAACAAAGAAACCTTCAGGCCCACATGGCTCTACTGAAGAATTCTACCAAAGATTTAAGGGAAAAAATGATACCAAATCTTCACAAACTCTTCCAGAAATTAGAAGAGGAGGGAACATGTCTAAAACTCACTTAATGAGACTCTAGCATTGCCAGTGAAAGACATTACAAGGGAACAATAGACAAATATTCCTTCTGAACAGATGCAAAATCTCTCAGCAAAGTATTAGCAAATCAAATCCAGCAATATATTTAAAGGATAATAAATTGTGATCAAGTACAGTTTATCATGGTACTGAAAGGTTCATTCAACATTTAAAAAGCAATAGTTTATGTACAAAAGAATTGACAGCAAGATCTTTAATATTCAAAGAATGAATGTGTTCCCCTAAGAATAGGAACCAAACAAGGATATCTGCTCTCACCGCTTATTTTTAGCATCATACTGGAGATTCTAACCAATGCAATAAGGCAAGAAAAATAAATAAAAGTCATTCAGGTTTGAAAGCAAGAGTAGATCTATGAGAAGACGACATGATGCACTATGTAGAAAACCCCAAAGAATCTATAAAAATCAAGGCCATAGGATATAAGGTCAATGTGTAAAAAACAATTGCATTTCTATATTCTAGCAATGAACAATTGGAGACTGAAGTCGATAAAACTATACTATTATAATAGCACTAAAAACATGTTACAAATTTAACAAAATATATGCTGAAAATTACAAATACTGCAGAAAGAAATTAAGGAAGACCTAAATAAATGTAGAGATAAATGTTTTCATGGATTGGAAGACTCGATATTATAGATTTCCATTCTTCACAATGGTCTACAGATTCAACACAATCCCAATCAAAATTCCAACAGGCGTATTTTTCAGAAATCAACAAGATAACTCTAAAATTTATATGGAAAGGCACAGGGACCGTAGCTATAATGGCCAAAAACAATTAGAAGAGGAGGCTGAAGTTGAGGGACTCACACTGTTTGACTTCAAACGTTACATAACAGGCAACAGCCTTAGAAGAGCCCTCACTGCAGGCTCACGAAGGCCTGGCCAGTGCTGAGAGCAAGGCCACCCGAGTGCCCCCGAGGCTCCCCACTGCCGGGTCCAGAGTCACCAGGCGGGGCCAGGGGCTCGAGGGCCAGCTGCTTGGGTGTGCATGCCGGGGCAGGTGTGGGCGGGACTGCACACTCACGTCACTCATCCTGTCCACGGTGGTGCTGACCAGGTAGAGCGTGCTGACGCTGACAGCCCGCACGCTGTCGGCCACGAGGTCCTCCCCGTCAGGGCCCAGCTGCTGAGACTGGGGACAGGGGACAGGGGGCAAGGCAGGAGCCCATGTGGGGGACGTGGCCACGAGGACACAGCCTGTTGGAAGCAGGACAGACCCTGCCCAGCCTCCCCCAGGGCGACACCCAGGTGTCTGCCCCTGGCGGGAAATGCATGTGTTGAACTAGCCCAGGGCAACAGGCTCACTGGCTTAGCTCTGGTCTCCAAACGAAAGGAAAACCCGAGCCCGTCCTGTAAGACACCAATTCCGAAAGAGCTAACTTTATCCCTGACTTCGGCAATGCTGACAACCACAGATATGAGAGGGCCTTTGTGCCAGTGACGACTGCCTAAGGAAACTCCACCTGCCGTCGGGAGCAGCTGACCTGGCTGGCGGCTCCCGTGAGACGCCTGGCGTCCTCTCTGGTGAGAAGCACTGCAAAGCCCCTCGGGAGCCCTCCCGACGCCTTGTCCGAGCCTCCCCGCTGATTCTTGGAAATACCAAAAGCAGACTGACCAGCAAGAGAAACTGGCAAAACCATAAGACTGCAAGAGACTTTCAGTGTCTCTCACTTAGAAGTCAAAGATCACAGCAAAAACAGGGATATTTAGGCTTGCAAAACAATTGTTGAAGCATGCCTAAAAATGCAGATAGAACATTATACCCAGTGCATGTGAACAACTTTAAAGCCTAACTGTCTATTAGGCAAAACAAAAAATAAATACATCTCATCAAACTCTTAAAAGCAAAAATAAACCTGGCCAGATTCAAGGTAGACAATGCAATAAATTACACATCCACAATAGCAATGAAAAGCTATTCACTTAGGAAACTTTAAATACCCTAAAAGAAACTTTGGGCTAAACCCAAATAGAAACTGAAAGCTGTCTTACAGTGAACACAGAGATGGCGCACAAACCTATCAGAAGCAGGCATGATATCACAGACAAAAGAACATGAACCTGACCCCAAACACACTAAAGGTGGAAAAATAGTATGAACCAAGAACCATAAAAAAATGTGCAAGATTGTAGCACATGACATGTAGAATTTGATTCAGGAAATCAATAGTGAAACACATGATCACCACTGAGGAAGAAACTACTGACTCGGAAGAACAGATTGAAGACCTCAAGGGAAAAGAAGGAAAGGGGAATTTTTAAAGAACAAAAGATAAGTTAAAAGGTATGAAAGATGGAAGTACTAACTAACATTCAGCTAATAGAAGTACTGGAATTAGACAGAAATAAACATGGAGACCAAGAAAAATTTATAGAAAGAAGGAGACAAATTCCCCAGAAATAGGCGGTAAATGGAGCTCATTTGAAAAGGTCCCACAGAGCTGGGTCAAGGCGAGCCTAGAATGTCTCGTGCCGAAAAGGAAAGGGAGGCTCAAAGGATGCTGGAGACACGCTGCACGGACACAGGAGCCGGCTCAGTGGGGACTTTCGGTGCCACCAGGACCAACGACACAGACCATGGGTTACAGCTCGTGAAACAAGAAGCTGTGAGCCCACCTTGGCCCATGTGCGAACACGAGAATGGAAAGGCTCTTGGTCACAACAGAAGGCAAAAAAATTTACAGAAAAATGAATGGAGTTAGAGAATCATCAACTGATGCTAAAACCAGTAGGTAAAAGTTTAATCGGCTAACTATCAAAGTTTATTCATGTTGTAGCATATGTGGCAGAGTTTCCTTCCTTTTTAAGGAGGAAAAATTCATCCACTGGTGGACTTGGGTTGCTCCTACATTTTAGGTACTGTGAACATGAGTGTACAAATCTCACTTCAAGATCTTGCTTTCAACTCTTTTTGGGTATATATTCAGAAGTGGAATTGCTGGGTCATGCGGTAATTCCAATTTTAACTTTTCTGACGACCAGCCATACTGGTTTCCAAGGCACCTTAAGTATTTAACATTAGGGAACTTGGCTTTTGACATTTCCTAAGTGATAAGAGTGTTTTGGCTGCCTGCGGCACTGAGCACCTGCTCTCCTTTAGGGAGTCTGGAATTTTGGTGGTTGTGGCTGGCAGAAAGCGCCTACCTGGCCTGCCTCCAACTAAAACCTTGGACCCTGAATCTCAGGAATCTTGCACTTGTGTCGTGGCATTTCCTGCAGCAGGAGGGAGGGTCTTCTGCGTGGCAGCTTCTGGGAGAGCATGAGAAATCTGCCCATGGATGTAGCCATGAGTACAACTGCCTCTCAGTCCTGCAAGTCCTGAATCACTAAGCATACAGGTGGTCTCGGGGCCCTCGACCCCGAGACACACTAACAAAGCTACTCAAGAAAACCAGATGGCCTAAATGGTCCTTTGTTTCTTAAAGAAGTTGAATTCATGGTTAAAAACTTTCCAACAAAGAAACCTTCAGGCCCACATGGCTCTACTGAAGAATTCTACCAAAGATTTAAGGGAAAAAATGATACCAAATCTTCACAAACTCTTCCAGAAATTAGAAGAGGAGGGAACATGTCTAAAACTCACTTAATGAGACTCTAGCATTGCCAGTGAAAGACATTACAAGGGAACAATAGACAAATATTCCTTCTGAACAGATGCAAAATCTCTCAGCAAAGTATTAGCAAATCAAATCCAGCAATATATTTAAAGGATAATAAATTGTGATCAAGTACAGTTTATCATGGTACTGAAAGGTTCATTCAACATTTAAAAAGCAATAGTTTATGTACAAAAGAATTGACAGCAAGATCTTTAATATTCAAAGAATGAATGTGTTCCCCTAAGAATAGGAACCAAACAAGGATATCTGCTCTCACCGCTTATTTTTAGCATCATACTGGAGATTCTAACCAATGCAATAAGGCAAGAAAAATAAATAAAAGTCATTCAGGTTTGAAAGCAAGAGTAGATCTATGAGAAGACGACATGATGCACTATGTAGAAAACCCCAAAGAATCTATAAAAATCAAGGCCATAGGATATAAGGTCAATGTGTAAAAAACAATTGCATTTCTATATTCTAGCAATGAACAATTGGAGACTGAAGTCGATAAAACTATACTATTATAATAGCACTAAAAACATGTTACAAATTTAACAAAATATATGCTGAAAATTACAAATACTGCAGAAAGAAATTAAGGAAGACCTAAATAAATGTAGAGATAAATGTTTTCATGGATTGGAAGACTCGATATTATAGATTTCCATTCTTCACAATGGTCTACAGATTCAACACAATCCCAATCAAAATTCCAACAGGCGTATTTTTCAGAAATCAACAAGATAACTCTAAAATTTATATGGAAAGGCACAGGGACCGTAGCTATAATGGCCAAAAACAATTAGAAGAGGAGGCTGAAGTTGAGGGACTCACACTGTTTGACTTCAAACGTTACATAACAATACAGACCAGTGTGGCTCCACCAACAGGACAGATGCCGATCAGCGCCACAAAACAGAGAGGCCATGACGCCACTTGATTTTTGACAAAGATACAAAGGCAATTCATCAGTGTACGAAGAAGAGTCTTTTCGATCTGTGGTGCTGGAACAACTGGATATCCATATGCAAAACAATGAACCTCAACCCATTCCTCACATTCAGGCAAAAAGTAACTCAAAAAGGATTAAAGACCTAAATGTAAAGCCTGAAAATTAAAACTTCTAGAAAAAAAAAAACCAGGAGAGTGTCTTTGTGACCTTGGGTTAAAGCAAGTATTTACTAGCTAAGACACCAAAAGCATGACCCATAAATAAAAAAACTGATAAGCTGGACTTCTAAATTATTAAAGCTTCTGCTCTTTGAAAGACACTTAAGAAAATAAAAAGACAAACATGCAAAAACCTTGTCAGACTATATTTACAAACCACAAATTTCATAAATAACTTGAACCCAGGATCTATAACGAATGCTCGATAGCCAATAATAAGGAAACAAACAATGCGATCTAAAAACAGGCAAAAGATATGAATAGACACTTAATTAAAGGAATACATGGGTGGTAAACAAGCATAGGGGAAGATGGTCAATGCCAACAGTCATCAGTGAAATGCAAACTAAACCCACAGTAGGACAGCACCTATTAGAATGGCTTAACAGAGAGACAGACAGCCCCCACGTGCTAACAAGGATGCGGGTAACAGGAATTCTCACACACTGCTGGAGGATATTCAAAATTGTGCAGCTACTTTGGAGAACAGCATGGAGGTTTGTTACCAAGTTAAACATATACTTTCCATTTGCCCCAGCGATCTCATACCTGGGTGTCTACCCCAGTGTACAAACAGATCCTCTTGCAGAAACCTGCACACCAGCAGTCATGGTGGCTTTTTCATAACTGCCAAACCTGGAAACAATTTCAATGTTCTTCCATAAACAAACGGCGGTACATCCATATGATGGAGTGCCACTCAGCAGTAAAACTGGACAGATTACTGATAGAACTGACAACACAGATGACCTCAAATATCAAAGAAGTCAGATTTCAAGAGCTCCACACCGTCTTACACCACTTGGATGACATTTTGCAGAAGGTGAGCCATGGGAAAGAAAACTAGAGGTGCCAGGGCCTCAGAGTGGAGGAGGCCTGGCCGCAAGGAGGCAAAGGGGACCTGGAGATGCTGGGATGTTCTGGGTCTTGATGTGATAGAGCCTGCGTGACTGTGAACTTGCCAAATGGCACATACCGGCACACTTCAAAGGGCACATTCTACTGTGTGCAAATTACACTTCAGTAACTGTCTTTAAAAGGACATTGGGTAGAAAAAACAAAGTACAGATCAAAGAGTAAAATAATAATAAATACTTTGAATCTTGGGCTCACACTTCTCTAAAGCATTCTAGGGGGACCGAGAACCAGCACAGCTTTTTGCCAATGCCCTGGCGCCCGGTGGCCCTGCTCTGGCCTGCACACCACCAGGCTGGCTGCCCCAAGGCCGACTTGTCAAAGAGAGGCAAGTCATTTGTTTCCTTTCAAGAACATTTTATCACTTTATTTAACATGCTAATAACACCTAACATTTTATTGAAGCATACAAAAAGGCAGACAGACTGACATGCTGGCCCCCCACATGTGCACCCTGCTCCCATCCGCCAAGCAGGAAGCTCCACACACACGGCCACTGCTCTTTTCAAAATCATTTAAATTTGTTAAATTCCCTCCTATATAAAACATTGACAAGGAATTATAGAATTCGTAGTACAACCTTCTTTGTGCAAAGGAATTACAAGTACAGTTCTTACCATGGGAGTCTATAAATTTTCTAATATTAAGAGAGAGCTTCAAATCCCAAAATATTGGGGGCTAACAGACTAAACCAGAGGTCTTGATTCTCTCTAGTTTATGCCTGAGGAACTGGTGAAGATACAGAGGTCGAAATTGGCCAAATGGGCCAGTGGACGCCCCCACGCTCCACCCAGAGGCCTGTGGGAAGAGCCCTGAGCTGGGCTCCCTTTGGCTGTCAGTGCCCATGGCTGGGCATCCACTCGCCCTGGGAGAACGAGGATTTCAACACAAATGAAGGGGTCTCGTTTGGGGATATGGAGCCCTAGCCTTGGCACTGTGGACCCGAGGAGGCCCAGCCCAGAGCAGGAGGCCCCCGGGTCACCGTGCTCGCCACAGGCTTGTGTGGCTAACGGCGAAGACACTGGGGGCCTCTTTTGTTTTCACCACAGTCCACTTCACCCTCCAGAAAAGGAACTGGGATTTGCTTAGTGACGTTGGAATGGACAACACCCCAGAGAGCCACGTATCTACTTGGCCTCTGCTTTCCCAGTCCTGGCGGCTAAGGAAGTGAAGTGCCCAGACGCAGAGGCACCTGGAGAAAAGCTGCTGCACACAGGCCCAGACTTATTCACACTCACCCACAAGTGCCCAGCAGCTTCTAACATACGACAGGCTTGTGGCCCAAGCAGGTGGGTGAGGCCGCACTCCCTTACCTCTGTCTCAGGGGGCAGCGCACACTGCCGCACAATGTACTCGATCATTGCCTCGCCTCCAGGCTGCTCCAGGTAGCCGTGGTGGGCCATGGCACTGATCACCTGCACCACAGCCCGCTTCACCTGCCCAGAACCAAGGGAGACCAGGAAGGGCTCAGGGGGAGAGATCTTGGACAGCTCCATGTCTGTCCAGCTGGGAGACAGGAGTCTTGCCCTTTCCTCTGCCTGCACCTGTGCCCACACCTGCACCCTCACCTGTGCATGCATCCACCCTACCCTGCACTACATGCGGCTTCTCCAGCTCCAAACATGCCGGGCCCTGCCTAGTGCTGCCCCACGTTGAGCACAGGGCTGGTGCCTCTTACGTACCATCACCTTGGCCCAGGCCACCCTCCAGGTGAGGGCCCTGAATCTGCAGTTGTCACCCAAACAGTCCTGGAATTCTGGTCACCACCCAGCCCCACTCAGTAACTCCACCCAGTGACCTGTGGTGTGGCATAGCCAGTTAACACCCAGGTAACCCAGCTGAAGACAGCACCGTCTTCCCAAGGTCTCTGCCTCTCCCGGAGCTCTGCTGCTGACACTGGCCCCATGCCCCTCCTTGGGGACCCTTCCCCTGGATCCAGATAACACCCCTCCTCCTTGGATCTCAGGTCAAACATCAGCCCCTGACTGCCCCAGACTCTGTGCCACCCCCAACTACATGTGGACTGAGTGACAGGTATGTGGCAGATTCCAGGCTTGGCATGTGCTCAGCCACACATGTGGGTGGTGGCACAGGATGTGGTCCCTCTGGGTGTCTCAGGGTGCTGTCCCTGAGGAGTTGTTCCACAGCCCACCAGGTAGCTTCTGAAGCTCTCACAGAAGGTCCCCAAACCAGGACACCCAGGATGAGCACAAAGGCTAGGAAGGCCCCCGAGGCCAGGCAGGAGGGCCTCTGCCTCCGCAGTAAGCAGGCCTGCCTGCTGCGGGCTGCACCAGCCTGGGGAGTACCAAGGATGGCCCTGCCCGCAGCCCCGGGGAGGTGGCAGCCACGCCCGTAGACATCTCGCCTGAGGCCAGCATCCTTGTTTCTCCCGGGGCTTCAGGCCCCGGCAAACAGTCTGACAGTGACGTGGGTGGGGGCTTTGGGCCACGCAGTATCAGCTCAGCCCCCCAGTGGGCTGAAGGCTGAGGTCCACCATGCAGGCAGCCACCTGGTCTATGTCCTGGAGGCCAGATGATGGCCTGGGACACAAAGGCCAGGGCTCCCCTGGTCGGCAGCCTCCATGCGTGCTGTCACACTGCTGCCGGCTACACACGGAGAGGACACCTGGCTGCTCCGGGTTGGGGCCCTAGGCCCTGCCCCATGGGCCTCTTCCCTGGGCTGGTGTTAGTCTGACCTTTCCCTTCAATACACTGCGACCATGGTACGGGGGCTCTCATGAGCTCTGGGTGTTCTTTGGGACAACTGTTGATCCCGAGGGGATCTTGGGGACCACCGCCTAACGTCATACCTGGTCAAGTGTCTCAGAAGGAAGATATGGGCAACTTGCCCACTCCTGCATCTGATGTCCAGGCCTGGTCAGCAGTGGCTTCAGATCCAGGCCCAGCCACACTCCCTGCAGCGGGTCGGTGCGGAGCTGGCCTGACCCACCAACTCACCTTGCTGTTGGGGTCTAGGAGAGGAAGCCTCATGGAGGAGAGGATAAAGGCCTTCTTGACTCCCATCTGAGCAGCTGCAAGAGACGGATGGAGGCTCAGCCTCCCCAAGACCAAGGCCAGCAGCTGGGCACCATGGGGCCCACGGCTGTGTGGTCAGTGGTCTGGCCCCCGTGTGGGCCTCCACGTGGGGCGGGAGAGAGCACAGGGGCCAGAGTCCACCTACATCTCTCCGGGGCACAGATGGCTTTTCCCCCCAAATAACATTATCTTACCCAAATAAAAAGCTATAAGGCTGGCAGTTTAGGGCAGCAGGTCAGAGTGGGCTGAGTCAGGCAGGGCCCCAAGGGTGGGGAGGCCTGTACAGTATCAGAATCGCATGCAGGCTTGTTAAACCCAGAACAGCCCCACCAGCTCTGCCTTCAGGAGCGCCGTGCCCCGGGAGCTGGTGGTCTGAGGACCCCACTCTGAGAACCAGCAGTGCCAGCCTTTGTTGCCTGGTATTCAGGTGGGGATCAAAGTGACTATCAAGAAGCGGGGGTGAGATTAATAATAATGAAAACAAAGACCTGGGCACAGTGCAGGCTACTGTATGCAATGGTGCTTTCACTCCACACGGCTCTGCCAGGGGTGTCCCCACCTCACCTGGGGGTGTGAGCAGCCCTGTGCCCAAGGCCGCTCTCCGGGGTGCTGGACCACAACATTAGGGGCACACCAGCCAGAAAGTGTGTGGGCAGTGATGTAAAGGAGCAGGGGGCAGTGCACCCCCTGCAGCTGAGTGCCTGCTGACTCCAGACCCAGCCGAGGCCAACTGCAGCTTCTGAGGCCGTCTCAGTGGCCCCAGAATCAGGGAATACGGAAGACACACAATGGTGGTGAAGGCGACGCGAGATTCAGGATTGTGAGCCAGGAGGCGCAGGGGCAGGACCCCCAAGGCCCAGACACGCAGCCGGACTCAGGTCTTAAGTACAGACAGACCCAGACAGATCACAGGCAGATCAAGAGAAAGGTGGGCAAAGAACTGGAATGAGCCCACAAGATGTGCAATACCACAGGGCGCCATCCTCACAACCAGGGAACGCAGGGACACCTGCCCAGAGGGCAGAAGTGACATCTGGGGCAAAGCCACCTGCCAGCAAGGACAAGAGTGCCTGGATGCACACAGGTGCTGGGGACACCAGCACACGACTGGTTGACAGCATGTGACACCTCTGACAGCCACGGGTCTGCAGCAAGTCCGTGCTGGTGAAGGCCCTGCAGCCCAGCCTGTACACTGTGGGGCAGCAAAACCAGCCAACACCCAGGGGCATGTTTTTGGCAGGTGAGTGGAGTGACAGCACTGTTCCAGCCACTGACCAGGACAAAGCAGCAGAAGTGAGCCAACAGCTGCTAACGCCACCACCTGGAGGGACGCCAAGCCTCCTGCCAGGTGACAAGGCAAAGGGAAGATATGGCAGCCAGATGCCCCCCCACAACCCAACCCCGGCACAGAGCTCGGAACTGCGTGCCTCCTTCCCCAGGATTGTGGGAAGCGAGGCTGGTAGAAGGGAGGGAGGGTGACCTCGGCAGAGAGGCCGGGGGGGAGGGGAGGCTGGATTGAAACACCTTGCCAAGCCACACATGTGCACTCTGAGGTGTCAGCTGGTTTTATATTCCCAAGAAAAAGTTAAAAAGATTATATGAACAAATGCATGATCTAAACTGAAAGTTTCTGTGATGACTGCCCTTGCACTGTTCACCATGTAAGAACTTATTCACTATGTAAGTATTTGTTCACCATGTAAGAACTTGTTCATTATGCTTCAAAAAAAAAAGATCATATGAACAATCCACTGGATGCAGGGCCAGGACTCAGGCCAAGGATTGACATGAATCCAGGTCCACATCTCTGAGGTTCAGAACAACAAACAAGTACGAAAAGCACAAAGTGAAAAATAAGATCTGCCATTGGCTGCCGTACGGGTGGTAATGTTTGACAAGTGGGGGCTTTCATCCACTCCTCAAGTCTGCGTTGGGCCTACTGTCAGCCACACCCTAGAAGGTGCTGAGGACATGACAGAGAGAGGGCAGACGTGGCTTGCCCATGAGCAGCTATGTCCCAGCGGGACAGACATCATAACCGGATAATAAAGATCATCACCAACTGTCATAATATCATGAAAGGCACAAACAAGAGGCAAAGAGAACAGACTGACAATGGGGCACCCAGCCGGGAAGGGCGGCAGGGCCCAGCGGTGCTTCCGAACAAGGGACATTCAAGCTAAGACCCGAAGGAAGAGCAGGAGCCGGCCCAGCGGAGCGCAGGCCGAGGGGCACTCCGGGCAGAAGCAGCCCCCCACATCGCGCTGCCCGAGGGACTGAGGCGGGCGTCGCCGTGGCCGGAGCAGCGGGAGGAGACAGTGGGGTTGGTGGCAGGGAGAAGCCGTGGTACCCGCGGGCATCACTGAAGGGGATGTCCTGGGACGCCTAACACCAGGACAGCCTAGTAAAATCATTAGACTTTAAAGAAAAAGAAAAAATCCTTTGGATATCTGAAAACAAAAAGAAAGAAGCATAATTGGCATATGAAAGTATAGGAAATTAGATTGTGATCGGACATGGATGGCAATTCTGTATGCCAGATAAATACATATGCTCAGTTAAGTCTAAATTTCAGACAAACAACAGGTAACTTTTAGTACAAGAACGTCCCATTGAACATTTGGGACACCCTGTTTGCTTGTGCTAAATCTGGCAACTCCATGACAGAAGAAAATGGAGTAACACTGGACACTCAAAGAATGTGAACCAAGAATTTTATAACCAGCAAAACTGACATCAAGTATAAAAAGCAAAAACTTTTATCAACAAGCAAGAAATCAAGGAGTATCTTCCTGTGAGCCCTTCCTGTGGAATTTCCAGAGAAAGAGCTTCAGACAAGAGAATGAGCAGAGATAAGGGCCTCTGGAAGGAGAGAAGCACGTATCTGTAAACACCTGGAGAACTAAGATCAAATGAGGCCAAGCAGGGCAGAGGGCAGCACAGACTGGCCACCTGCTCAGGACGTATATGTGGCGCACAACCATTAAAACAATGGGTGGGTACAGAAAGCACATGCAAAATGTTTTTCATGATTTTGGCCATTTCATTGGTAATGGTGCCATCAGTGTCACTCCAGTGTCAGTCTTGTGAGTGTCACAGGAGATGAACTGAGTAAGTCTGAGATGTTCTAAACCTGTCTGCTTGAGAGCCAGCCAGATCCTTGGACTGAAACAACACAGATGCAGGTATAAGAGAAAAAAACAGAAGTAAGAGCTCTGGAGCCTCTATGTAGAGTGGAAGTGTCAACACATACCACAAGGTGCCCCATCTACCGGCAGACATTTCCAGGCCCGTCTACTAAAAAGGCCCCAAGACAGTGGCCACCTGGAAGAACAAGCACTCCTCATTCCAGACTGCTGTCTTAAAAGATAATTTCTCATTAATGAAAACAAGGGCTTTTCGGAGAAATGATGGATTCCACTCTGGAGCAGGAAGCACAGAAAATGAGCCTGAGACATCCGCTGTCCGAGGGCAGAGGGCAGAGGTCAGAGGGCTCGGGACCTGAAGAGACTCCTACTGCACAAGGCTGATACGATTTGAGCTTCAATAATGGTAACAACTGTAATGAACTGAAATCCACCAAACACATCTAAATCCATGAGACTTTAGGATTTTTTTTAAAAGAGAAATGGTCACGTTTAGACGATGACAGGGAAGAAATCTATTATCTCGAAAGCTGACAAATAAAGCCAAAGAACCGACGACTGGTCCCACCTTCCTCACAGGAGCTGCACTTCCGAGCAGAATCTCCTTATGGAGGTATTTCAATTAATCGCTGAAAAGGAAACTGTAGAACCAGAGCATCACCAAAATGCCTGCAGCCACTGAGCATCAAGGCCGCCAGGGTCTCAGGAGAGAGAAACCAGGTGACATGTGCCTCCCATCATCCACAAAAGATGCGGACCTGAGTCTGAGCCTCCCTGAATTCAGGTGGAGGGAAGCACGTCGCCCTGTACCTTGCGAGGAGCAGCCAGCTGGGAAACCCCAGGGCGCATGGCCAGGTTCCTCCGCAGATAGATCACAAGACAGGGAGGGTGCTGGCTTAAAGACGGCGGTGAGAGGCAAGACAGAAACCTCCTCCCCAAACCACACGTGGTATGAAAATGTATCAGATACAGCGAGTCTAGAAAGAGTGACTGGAAAGAAGACCGACAGACTGCCTACATCTGCGGAAAAGAGAAGATCCTATGGGAAAGGGTAAAGTATTCAAAGTCACAATCTGACAGGACCCAAGCCCTCCCCCTGCCCCAGATCACTGGCAGGAGGAAGATAAATGGAGCAGGGAGGGGGTAGAAGCCTAGGACCTCTGGACACCTGGCCCTGGAGATCTGCTCCGGGAGCACAAATCCACACAACATGGTGCTCTAGAGATCAGTGGGGTTGGAAAGCAAATACAAGGAGAACACTCGGAGAGACTGAGGTTCCAGCTGCCTGTGGAGAACAGGTACCAACAACCGGCCACTCCAGGGCAGAAGAAATGCAGGCATTTTGAAGGACTTCCCAACAGCAAGAGGACTCCTAAAGGGGCAAGGATACACAGAGCTTGCTCCTCAGGAGAAGGACCAGATGAACAAAATGGTCCTGGCACACTCAGCGCAGCAGGTTGGGAATTTTTCAGAGCTTCAGGCGCTCCATCCCCCTGGCTAGCAAGGCAGTTCCGAGGCCCCTAACAGTGACACGCAGCCTGCCCCTCCATCCTCCCAGCTGGCACCAGGTCACAAACCTGCTGCCCCCGCCATTGCACATGGCCAGCCAGAGGGTGGTTCCACCTAGGGCACTACAGGGGCAGAGTTATGCGCTCGGCCCACTGGCCCTGGCAGTGGAGGCAGGCACTGCAGCTGGGAAGCAGGAAAGAGCTCTTTCCTCCCAGTAGACACTGGTGCTGCTCAATTGCAAACCCCACCACTGATCCAGATGCAGGGCAGCTCCAGACAGTGGAGCTTATGGGCACTAGAGGGTGCCACTTACACAAAGTTATTATTCCATAGGAATCAAT